AGATAAGGCTAATACTGCTGTTCTGTCAAAATTTCCCTCAGTGTACCCTGCATGGCTTTGCCCATCTTCATCCGCCCACATAGTACAGAAAAGTAAGAAAAGTAGGACGTAAAACTCTATTCATTTCATTTTACATTGCTTAATGTCTTTAAAATAGCTGACAGGCATTTGCTACATTGATTTCTTAAGAAAAAACAATGGCTGCTATCTTACCTTTTCTCTATGCTTTGTTGATGGTTTAGCCTCTGCTACAGAATATACAGCTAAACTCAAAGCAAATACCCACAAAAATATTTCCACCTTCATATTTATAACGTTATCTATCCATATACTACACTTTTACACTACAATATACAACATAACCCAGAAATTACAAATATAGTCCTTTAATGGAAGTAAATGAAATGGTTGTCATGCAAACGGAATACGCTTCCAGCACGATGTCTCTGTAGACTCGCAGACATTATTCCCGATTGTCCTGGAGAGCTAAGCAGACAGTATATTACACATATAATATCAATGTTTTCAATAACGTTCTGTGAATTTAAAAATATCTTGTATATTGGGATGAACGATGGTCAAAATTGATATATATTTAGTATAAGCGTCAATATCTTACCTAGCACATACCGTATTTAACATGGAACCATTGTCTCTACAGTCTACAACAAAACTCTGCCGATAGAGGGCGATATTGATTTTTGATAAATAATATACAGGCCGGTGCAGACTATTTGCTATCTCGAATGTCAGCAGGTTGTTTCGACAATGTAAAAGGACAGAACACTGATAATCTTTAATAAATAAGTTATGACATAATATCTACTGACACAAGCACCGGAATCAGTTTTGAAATATTACTTTGAAATCTGGTTTATATTACGCTATATATAAGATTTAAATGACAATGTATAAAATTTACAAATTATTTCCGCAAATCCTTCTTGCAAAAAAATAGAGTTATTATGTTAAACCTTGCAATTGTCTTTCCATAAAAGGTTTCAATAAAGCAGAAGTAGTTTAATTACTTAATTAATCTTAAAGGGACAGATGCACCATTTTTTTCATTAACCAATCGTACTTTAGGCTCATAACCGGGACTTTTTTTTAGCTAAGCCAATCAGCAATATTGTTCACAGCTCACCGTCGAAATTTGAGACTTCAAATGCATGTGTGCATCAGCGTTTCAAAGTTAAAATGACGACTCGTCAATTTAAGATACTCTGTATTATATAGAAAACACATATATAGAAATAGTGAGTACAATTCCCAGTTTGAAGTTTTCATTAAGGAATTACGCGATTTTCTTTTCAGAGTAATCTCTGCATACTCAATCCATATCGAGTACAATGATAGTAGCGATAGTGTCGATGATGTAATGGGGGCGGGGGAGGGCTGGACCCGTTTGGTTTGACCGACTTCAAAGAAATCATGTTGGATCATACGACTTCAGACGGTACTTAGGTTACAGATTACATTCAATATCAGCTAGGTGACATGTTGTTGGCTGCCTTGCAGAGAAAAATCAAGATACATATTAGCTTAGTCTTGGTTTCCTTTTTCTGAATCTGGAGCCGTGGTGGCTCAGTGAGTTAGACGCTTGCTCACTAACCTGAAGGTCCACTGTTCGATCCCGGCATAGGTCGAGATAATACCTTCGGATTTTTCAACCCGGTTTCCCCCTGTCAGTGATGCAGGTAAGAGGGGCTGACATGGAAAAAGCGTCTACTCGTTCGGATGGGACAATAAACCGAGGCCCCGTGTGCTACAGGCTGTTTCCCTCATTGCACCCTGCATGGCGTTGCCCGTCTTCATTAGCCCACATGGTGCAGAAAAGTATGACGTAAAACTCCATTCATTTCATTTCATTTGTTCTGAATCTGAAAATCAAATTTCCAATCACCTTACCACAACACAGAAGCACGAGTTTTATTGCTGAAGTAGCTTGTGAAAACAATATTTGTATCTAAAAAAAATCTTATTTTTTAAAAAAGTAGCCAACCGACAACATGTCATTCTACAACATGTTTAGTGATTCAGAACATACATTTTTCTGATTAATAACTGGCTTCAATAGCCCTGAGTTTATCTCAACCATAGAAGCACTATAGAACAAAAAGCGGTATAGAAGCACACAATGTATTAACTAACACATTTTCAGGACAGCCGCGTAATTAATATGTTTCTATGTGCTGCTAATTTCTATATTCATTTAAATATCAATTATTGACCTCCATTATTAAGCCTTATTTAATTACTAAAATGGACCTAATTCTCTAATTATGGTTAAAGGGATAGTGCTGGTGTTGAAATAATTTTAACTCTTACAAAATAATGATATGTCGCTTTATTTCTACCTTTGCTTTCTTCTTTAAAACTAGTACTTATATAAGATACGAAAGATACGAATTTCAAATTTTTAGGTTTTTTGTACAATAATGTAATTACGTGCAAAGCTTAATATGCACGAGATTGTTGCTTTATATTTCCAAATGAACATTGACTCCAAACAATCGAACGATCAGTACTCAAAAAACGAAGGACACCACTCATTATAGTGGTATGAGCGTCGGTCTTGATTTGTGATTCGGTCAACATCAGTACATGTCATTCGATTGTGGCTGTCTGTTTTCATTGTCATTTATTTAGAAATTTATAAAAGTCTCATGTTCATTAAGCTTTGCACATTATTAGAAAATTTGCACACTAACAACATAATAATTTGGAATTGGTAGCCTATATCTGAGGGTATGTTTGCATAATTTATAAAAGAAGCACTCAAAGAAAATAATCTATAAATTTACATAACACTAAGTTTTGTTTTCAGCAGCAATGGCGGTGTGGTTCTTGTTGGGGTATGCTTAGTCTTCTGATTACCTGATGCCACATTATGGAATACTTCCTCATGGATGCAAAAAGTTGTTGTTTTATTTTGTTTTGTGCAGTGTCAGTCGAGATGGTTTTGATAAATTGTAGTAGTCTACTTTCGTTTTGTTTAACTCAAGATTTTCATGGTCATGATAATTTCATGATTTAATATGGCAAGATATGACAATTGAATTAGTGGTCCGAGTCTTATCTAACATTTGATCGTTCCCCTTGAACTATGGAATTAGGCTACTTCATTAGTTGCAACAAGCCTACTGTTCCGTCCCAAATGTCGTGTGTATTTCAGTCTTCGTTTTGCAGTTAGAGTCGTTAGTACTTGTTTTTTTTAATATTAGTATATATTTTTACCTACATAAATAGGCTATACCCTTTTTTGAACATAAAATTAACAAAATAATTGAAACCAAAACACGAAATACTCTTATTCTATTTCTGTATTATTATCATGTTTATAGTTTAAAACTTTATCTACAACCCGCACTATACTGAGAATTAACCAAACATCATGCACAGTTGTTTTGTGTGAAATAAACTCCATAACCACACCCTTAATCATGATTGCAGAATCCGGAATTAACCAGCGATAGATTTTTACACATATGAACGATGTCTAAGCATAAATCATGTTTGAAAACACATGTCATGTCATGATAAACTTGCACTTATTCTGATCCCGAATATTTTGCTAAATAGAGGAACAGATACCCATAACTCCATCATATACTGAAGATCTTGGAATGTAAGGGTTCCGATCGGGTACCTCGAAATATCCCGAATTTCGTGTATATGTTGAATTTTGTCCTCGTACATTAACGCTATATTCATGACTTATATGCCTTGCATTCCTTAAAAAACGCCATATATACGGTAGAAATAAATCATGTAAGACAGACACCTTCAGATTCATATAACCCCAACTATGTCTATCTGAAATCATGTATATTGTATAGTATCTATTCATTAGTTTTATTATAACAATTAAATTATAATACAAAAAACAGAAAAATAAAATGTTATTTTGACAATATGAAAATTAATCTATACCATGTTAATTAACTCTAAGATAGCTTGCATACATCAGCATTAGGTTATAGGATCCAACCTCGAGCAAGATAACAAGCTATGTCACCCTTAATCATGTCTTAATTCAAATCGAACCTTAAGAGATCAACATGAAATGGCATTGGCCCTAATAGTATTAACTATGCATGAATTGCATGAACATGTAAAATATGAACTATCCACACGAGACAATGAGAACTATCGACCTATCACATGCGAGTGGATTCATATGGTGGAGGGTCCTTTGAATTTTGTACTCCGTTTGTTTCAGGCTTTTCTTGCACTCCTATAGTATCATCCTTCTTGTATAAGTCACCTTTATTTCCCAAAGTATCGCACATAATCGGTTTTGACGGATCCAAATATTCTTTCTGAAACAAAGAAATAATATCATTTTAACTCAATCCATTTCATTTAAGTACAGGCAGAAAACAATCAATGATGAAACAGGGCGACTGTCAATTCTCATTTCAGCAATTATTGCATTGCCAGGACAGTGGCTTTAGCTTGAGACCTAATGTATGTACATATAGTCCCGGATGATTAGACTGTTTTATTTCAACCCATCCCCCAACAGGAGGAAATCTAGATAGGAATGTTGGCACGGTCACTTGAAAAATATCGGGATGCAAGCTATGAACATCAGTTTTCAAGAAATTAACCGATTTAAATAGTAATACTCACCTCATCATGGCGGACACCAAACCATAATTTACGGCGGATTGATTTAGGTAAAAAACAAAATGGTGGTAATATATCGAAGATAGGGCAAATAAGTCTGGGGTCAAGTGACTTTGGATCCTGCTTGCCTGAAAAGACGGTTAATCTACGGTCAGAGAAGGGTTTGCTCTTTTGAAACATAATAAATGGCAGTAGAACAATGTAAACTATACAGTTTTTTTAACATAAAAACGTGAACATAAATGACTGAGTTCATTCTTTAATTTTCACAAATACAGTTCATGTTTATCTGCTTTAATATAGTAAATTTGGTCCCATATCGGACGACTCGTCATGACGATATTTTCCATATCCAAAAAACATGGCTTTCAAACAGAATTAAGATTGGTAAAAGTTAAAACTATATGGGTGACTACATGATAGGTAGGAAACGTACCTGTTATCAAACTTACCACCATACCAACAATACATGTTGTAGCAACAGCAGTAGCACTGTACCATAGATAAGAAACTGTGTATAGATAATAATCAGCTGATCTGAAAATATTCCCAAAAATTTTAATCGATTCATTAGAACAGAATCTTTATTGTAAATGGGTTGCCAAAATAAAGTTATTAAAAAAACATAAAGTTAATATTAGTATTATTTCTAGACATAACTAAATGTCCAGAAGTACTTTTGTTATCGGAGCCCAAAAGGCAGTCTGACATCTCCCCGTTCATTCCTACAGCAAACTTTTTTACCCCTATTTATCGTTTCCATTTCCAATATTTTATATATATATATTTTAGTTGGAAATCAAGCACATAAAATGACGCCTAGAGTCTGAACTAGCGGGAATGTAAAAACTTAAAATAAAATGAAGGTCCCGAAAACGAATTAAGGATATAATATATCGTAATACAATTAGACTTAAATTAACACTTACGGTTCGGGACCAAGAGTGGGAGATTCCGGGACTATAGTGGTAGTGGTGGGAACGAGAGTCCAGTTACAACCATGAATATAGAGTGGTGGTCTAGGATTTGGCGGTTTATAAACCTGAGCACCAACACCAATCCAAAACATAAATACTAGACCAGTAAATAACCCACTAAACGCTCCCTGGAAAAAAAAACAACAAATGTAAATATGTACTTAATGAGAAGTTCAGAATCAAGGTACATGATAAAATAAAGAAGGCAAATAAACACTCGTTTTCGCTTCTAGCACTACAGCAAAGAAGAAAATTAATATGGTAATGGAAACCTTTATAAATTATATTGTTCATGCATTATTGCCTGTATTTTTATATCTAACACGTCCTTAATGATCGAATATCATTTGCGCCCCCTGATTTTTAGTTAAATCATGACCACTACCTGTAAATCGCCAAACACTTACCCATTTATTGGCCCAAGGGAAGAGCATTCCAAGAGTGAATGTACCCAATAAAGGTCCTCCAATCATACCAAACAGAGACAGAGCTGCCTACAATACCAAATATAGGTTTTTGTTATTGTAAAAAAAACATTTGCATAGGCATATGCTGGTAGGGTGGGTATACACAATTCCCATTATAATCATTCGAATACATCGATTTGGTCTTAAACACGTGAAGAAATATTAATTGCGCTTACCTGTAAAACACTTCCTAATAAGGAAGCAACATATGTTAATCCTAAACATATAATACCAAATATTACAGCTGAAAACAGAAAAGTTGAAAATTAATTGTGAATGCTACAGAAAATTACTTCTGATGGAATACGAAAGGACGGATTAACTTGCCGCAAATAAATATTTTGACAACTTTGCTACATTTATATTCTTAACAAATTAGGTAAAGAACCAAATTAATGTGAAAGTGCAAGTCTTAAAACTGTTGTAGCGCTAGCGATGTACTTTATGCTCATAGCACTGGACGATCTATTGGATTCGTCAACTTAGCACTACATACAGAGAGCTATATACCGCAAAACAGATCTTGGTATTTTATATAGGTAATTCACTTCCCATTGAAGTAATAAACTGAATCTGTATTCTAAAACACCGAGGAATATCTTACCCAAAACTTTTGAGATTAACGTAGCACGTTCTTGTCTTAAATCCTTAAATATATAGGCTTTAATAACATCTTCTAAAAATACGGCAGCTAGTGAGTTTAATCCTGATGATATAGTACTGAAACAGAAGTTAGATTATGAAGCACTTATGATATAGGCTGCGAACAGTAGCACTTTTAATTTACTTAAAACATTCTGATTGCTGTTATAATATGTTATATTTGATATCTTACACTTTGATTAAAATGTGAAATATCCGGATCTCAGAGCAGCGGAAGTTTTAATTGACATCTGCCAAAATCTTGTCAATGGGTGGATTTAGTTGACCTAAACGCACCTAAACCTGGGAAAAATGGATTTTGTCGACCTGAATGATCGCAGTTGTTCATGAACTCGTAGTTAGTCAATTTCTTTACATTAGGAAACTGCGTTGATGACATGTATTGAATCTCCAGTCGCTATGATCCCAGCAACCCTCCCAGTAAGAGGAATGTGTTTTACTGTATTCCAACAAAATTGAAAATACTACTCACCTTAAAGCACCACTGAATAAACAGGCAACAAACACACCAGGTAATCCAGGATAGTCACCCAATGTATCCATTACAAATAAGGGAAGTAACTGAAATGATACAAATACAATGTTCTGAATATATATTCGCTTTATTCCGAAGAACAATCCCAATAAATATAGAACAATAGGCTAAGGATTTACAAAAACACTTTTTGATTTGACAATAAAAAAAATGGTTATCATAGTCTGAACTTTACCTGATCGGCTGCACCTACAAGACCATACTGTAATGGATCACACGTAGAATAAAAAGCATACATGACAATACCAATTAAACATGATAAATATAATATAGCACATAAACCCGGAAAATTCAACCACATGGCACTGAAATAAAAAAAATAAGTAGTAATGGATATGGAAAATTAACTGTAATGTTCAGCTCATTGAAAGCCGTTGCCATGATGGTGGAAATGACTTTTTCAAATGATAAAAACACGTCAAACTTTAGCAAATAAAAACGGTCTAAAAGGAATTTTTAAATAGATCAATTTCGTAAAAACCTTATTTGTTTTTAAATTCCTTCATCATTTTTGACATTTGACTTAGACCCGTCTTTGTTGTAGCTTTGTCTAGGTTTTGTGAAATAGGATGCACGGTGGGTAATAGTGGATACAATTTGTCAATCTTTTCATCTACTTTGCCAGGCAAGATAATATACGCCCGCTACCAGCTGTCAGACATGATAACAAAGTCTTCAGTGGCTTAATAATGAATTTTCAAATGCAAAACTTCTCAGTAACAATAAAATCTTTCATCCGATTATTACCAATTTCGACTAGTTGAAAAAAAAAGTGACTGCCATGCAAATAAATCAATGTGCTATTCAGTTATTAACTATATAATTTAATGTACATGACATATATTTCCAGAAAGCTATGTTTGACAAAATAGAGTAATTAAAGTAGTGCACGCCATGTTTTTTTAAATTGTTAAATACTACAACATCTACCAGTAGTTACAAATAATTCAGAAATATTATGCAGTGTTTTGTCTCTCATAAGGTATCCAAGAGGAATAAATTGTCAACCACGACTGATGAATAATATACGACTGACGATTCAACTAATTGTGACGACTTCGGGGTCTAATATACATGCATACCAAGTTTCACCTTTAATGGCTGATTCTATCAACAAATCTCTGGCACTGTTATTTCGATAAAAAAAAGTTTTGGAATCCTTTACCAAATATACCTGATATTAATTTTCGATTCTCGATGATATTTGGGCTATATCCATATATCTATATATCCTTGTTCTCTGAAGCTTGTACTAACTTGCTGACTCTTAATAATAATCAACATCCTACAATCAAGTTCACCATGAATATTACTGAAAAATGTGTTTCCTTCCTAGATATCAATGTGTTTATAAAAGATGACGATTAAGAAACTGCTTTATTTTTTAAATCCACAGACATCCATCACTACTTACCACCCACCAGATGTCATCCTTAACATATTTTCTATTACATACAATATAAAGGTATCAAGAGAATTTGCAGTAAACTGTGGGTAGACTATAGACAATTCAGAATGTTGAATTCAAAATGTGGGACAAACTGTAACTTCATTTAGTGTAAAACTTATATACTAAAGAAAGATGGTAAAACAACTTGGGTGGCTCCGCATTTTAATATGCCAGGTCATTCTTTAACTTTGCCTATTCTCCAGAAAATAAACTTGACAACAAAAGCAAATTGGATTCGGCAGAATCTTTCTAGACTCAATACTGACGTCTTTGAAGCCTACTTTCCCAGTCCGGTTAACTCCAAACTAATCATATACTAATCATTAAATTTGGAATTGATTAAGCTATTTAATGATACTATCAAATACCTTAACATATTTCCGCGAAAGGACAGTTTTAAGCCAACTTTCTTGCTGTCGAGCTTTTCTGACTATTCTATTGTATTAGAGGTGATCACCATTATCTTCTTCATGATTGGTTTGGATTTTCAACCATTATCATTAATTTGATTGTTAAAAAATGCACATCCTACCATATTAAAGGGATTGTAAAAAGGTTTTCTAGACTTTCTTATGTGCATCAGGGACAACTTTGACCTCTTTGAACTTTTGAACTTTAGGACATCTCAATTCTCGTCCGATGAATGTGGTTTCTAGTTTCTACTATTTCAGAAAGAGTTAACCGGAAATGACGCAGCAAGAGAATTCGTAACCAACCGGAATTTCGAACTATGTAAATATTTTCATGTATACTAAGCTTTATCAAGATCGGATAAAACTGTAGCCTTTATCATGCCTTCATTCCAAACATATTTTTACTAAGTCGAGGACAATAACTCCGAAATCTTGATCCGATTATTACCGAATTCGAACTTGACTGAGATCCCATCAATGTCTACAAGCATACGAAGTTTCATCAATATCAGATGAAAACTGAAGCCTCTATCGTGCGCACAAGAAATGTGGACAGACGGACGGACATGGGCTACGGCATCATACGGGCGAAGTCTTTATTGTTTACTGGTCTATGAATTTTATGGTTCTTATCAATTTTTGTGATTGAATATTGAAACAAGTAATGTATTACTTACATCTGAGCTTTACGTAATGTGGGACACGTACACGTTCTCTGTACCTGAGCTTGGTTTGTTCCATAAATAGCAACCCATGTGAAAAATCCACCAATAGCGAGGGACCAAACACTGTGTCGTACGGATGGATCGGGACTAAAACTGAAAAACGAGAATATATTAAATTGAAAGGTTATTACATTATTTTTGTAGATGAACCAGTGGCGAAGACAGGATTTCATTGACGGAGGTAGTTCTTTCAAAAACAATATATTACAAGGCCTTTATCGTCTACGTAGAGAATATCCATGAATTTCTGAAACGCTTTTATACTTACTCGAAGAATTCTACTCTTGAAGAATTAGCAGCAATTTCCCATGCTTTACCAAATCCTCCGACGAGCATGCTTCCTCGAATTAATACAGCTATTAAACCAGTTAACATCATAAAAACTTGGAAGGTATCTGTCCACAGTACAGCTTTCATACCACCCTGAAATAAATAGTTAAGTTCACAGAATGATTAAAATTGTCGAACAATTCGTACTGAATTTATCTTTTTTGTCTTTTTTCAATTTGTAACTTAAACCGTTGATGTAACAAGAAGTGCCAATGTGAGAATACATCCATAATGCCAACTTCTTGTTTCATGGTCTAATAGGATTTCGAGGATTAAAAGACCTAAATTAATTTTGGAACATTAGAATAATAAAAAGGTACTTACAAAAGCTGTATAAATAGTGCATACAACACCAACTGATATAACTGACCCCCATAATGTAAAACCAGTTACTGAAATTAAATAGCGAACGTACATTTAATCAGTGCAGGTTTTGCTAGGTTATTAGAGCTTAAAATCTACATGGTTTTATCCTTATTGCATGTAATACTCTTAAGGACACTTCGAGTCATCCCAACAACCCCAATGTCATACCAGAGGCGGATTAACCTATAAGCAACTAGACAGCTGCCCATGACAAATTCCAAACAAACAGTAAAAAGTATCAAACAAGTTAATAAATTTCCGCAGGCCCATCGAAAATTGTCCTACCAGGAGCATGATGTGTGAGAATCGACTAAATTGTTTGAGCCTTATGGTGATGAATGCCGATATCGTGCATACGATTAATGCTAATGAGCTAATTGATCTGTTCCTGAAAAATGCCCCCTCCCTAAAATGAGAAATTAGGCCCTCTATCGTTCGTTTGCCTACAGTCCAACAAGTCCAAAATCCGCCACTGTGCCATACCCTCAAGGACACTTCGAGTCATGCCGACAACCCCAGGATAATGCTCTTAAAGACACTTCAAGTCATCCCCTTAACCCCAGGACATGCCCTCATCGAGTCATGCCGACATCCCAAGGACCATACCCTCAAGAATAATGTGGAGTCAACCCCAAGGCAATTTTTTGAGTTTAGACAAATTTTCTAGTTGCTTTAGAATTCCACCATTCAAGGAATGTTAAAATGTCAGTCGTGGACCTTGAACCCAGTTTTTCACGAATACTTCATTCGCCATGCCATCGTGCGCCTCTCTTAAACTATATAACATATACAAAATATTCACCTGCGTTCAAAGCTAATGATGGAGCATATAGTACAATGGCCATATACAACACCTAAAATACGAAAACACCAAAATTAGCTGAGAAGAAAAAAATTGGAAAAAAGTAAAATCAGTCAAAACCGTATTGGTCGGTCCACGGCAGCAAAAACTTCCCACCCTTTTGTTGGTAAGTCCTCAAAGTATGACTAATGCAAAAATCGATTCAGAAATTTTCAAATGTACGTTATTTGTGTTGCTGAAAACTGAGTTACCTATCTGAAGTAGACCATTATTTGGTATTAACTGCTCAAAAGTATTAAACCTTCTGAATAAAATATATTATATAGATGGACTATTAGCGTCTGAAACTTACCATTTGAGTTGCAAAGGTCATAGATCCAGCAGTTCTTACACCTTTACTAAATCGTTTCTCAAGATACTGAAATATACAAACAGTTATATATAAAGTATACAACCTTACACCTTTACACTCGGTATAGAAACATTAATTTTATACGCTCGGTATACACGTTTATCTTTATTTTTTTATAATAAGTTTATTTATTTGACCATAAGGCGAGATGCCTATAGTTCACTTATATAATATACAGTGCATAATTTACAATATATATACAAAATATAGTATGTTATTAAATCATACGCAATACGCATACGTTTATACAGGCAGTTATACATTTCAATAATTCACAATACTATATTTGGCTATATACAAAACGACTATTTTTATCACAGACACAAGACAGATTATTATGGAATGCAAATAAATACAAATAAATCTGACCTCTAGCCTTCTTATCTCCATAGCCTTTTTCATATAAATAGCTAGATTTTGTATAATTAATTGGTTTTCTGAGCGAAATAACTGGTGTAAATTAGTATCAGATGGATAGTCACAGTAATATGAGGGAATACAATTACGTCTTAGGTCCGATAAAATTGGAAATATTAAAATAAAATGCAATTCATTTTCAATAGTTTTATAATTACATAATTTCCATAACCTATTCTGTCTTGGTATACCATGCCGACGACCATTTTCAATCTCAAGAATATGTGTTGAACATCTGAGATTTTCTAAATTGAAACGTAACGAATGATACATAGAGCTATACAAATTATTTCTTATCAGTATATACCTGTTTTTATTTCACAATAAAATCCACATTTTGAGGATTTTGACATGTAATTTTGCCAATCTTGCATAGAAATATCTTTAAGACGTTGTTTCAAATAAACAAAAATATAGGTATATCGCTCACTCCTTGGTTTAACCATACATGACCAAAACCTACACTGTTTTAATTGATGTACACCAGTTATATCTACCATCTAAATTCTGTCTATATAACACTTGATACGATAGGTTGGGCAGCCTGTGGTTTTCCATACATTGCAATTTAAGAAAATATTTGATGGGATTGCACATATAATTGCAGGGCGTTCTGCTCTAGCAATAGCGTTCGTAGTTTTATTACCCGTACATAGGATCCACTACAAAATTTGTTATGTACAACCTCTGTATCATTACGTAACTCAAGTACCCCATATTTCCGAACCATAATATAGTATTGGATCAACCATAGAGTCGAAAAATTTAAAGGCAATTTTTACATTTCATTTACGTTTAAGTTTACATAGACAATGTTTGATAACACTTAAAGCTTTAGTAGCTTGTTGCGATAATGTTTTACAACATAATGACCAGTTTAATCTACTAGTGAATATAATACCAAGATAATTATAACTGTATTACTGTATCAATAATACACCCACAACAGTACCACTTTTCTTTCTTAAATAGAACTTCCCCCTTTTTTAAAAACTACCATTTTGAATTTTTCTAGATTACCTGACATGTTCCATTTATAACAATATACCTCAAGGACATTTAAACGTTTTTGGAGATCACCAATTGTATCTGCAGTAAGGGTAAGGTCATCAGCAAATAGTAGTAAGAATATGTCGTCAATGGACTGGTCGATAAATATACCACTTCCACCATCTTCTTTCAACATAATTGCTAATTCATCGATATACATACCAAATAGCCAAGGGCTCAATATACAACCCTGTCTAACGCCAGATTTACATATTTGTCATGCCAAAGTTTGATCTAACTGTAGCCTTAACACAAGCATATATGCTTGTGAGCAGCTTAAATATTGGACCATGCAAACCTTTCTGAATCAATATATACAATAATTTATGCCTATTTACAAAATCAAAAGCTTTAGAAAAATCGACGAATGCGCAGTAAAGAAATTCCCCCTTTTGACTTAGAAATATATTTCTGCACCATGGAGTTTAAAATAAACATATTGTCTGTTGCCGAATAACCCCTCCTGATACACGTTTATATACATACATAATTAAATAAACATACAAGTATATACATAATTATACAAACATACAAATATATTCATTAAGTATACACCATTTACGTATATCCATAAAGTGTACAACGTTCACATATATACATAAAGTGTAAAAAAAATTGTATTATGTATTCCTATTAGATTATATAAGATATATAATATGATGTATAACTTGGGATCTACTTTCTACAGTTCCGAAATTGCATTCCGGTGCAGAATATATCAGGTTGGGTTTGTTTTTTTTATAAAGTAAAGAATTAGCAGTATTCAATCTTCAAGTTTCTCGGACTATAATACTGAGATAAAAAGTGTATGTAATCTAGTGTTTAGTTACAATATTCGGTATGTTGATTATAAATAGGAGCTTTAATACTTAAAATCCACAGGTAACAAAGAGTGTCCTGTTCACTGACCCACTCAAAATTAATCATGTATCAAATATATTTGCATATATCATAGCCAAAATGCCATTAAAGAAAAAAACAAACACGTCTTCTTTTTTTCATTTCATCGGCCGATAGAAATAAATTTCACCTATCCGAGTCACATATCACTGATAGGGCCTATTTCCAAATTGTTTAACCTACATAATCTCTATATGAGGATGTATATTTAGGCAAATACATCAGTATGTCTTTCCCTCCGTCCATTTGTTTACATTTCCTTATAAACGCTTTTAGGAATATACATACACCGAAAATAAAACAATGTACGCTTTGAATATTTACACAGACTTTAATCCCCGTATTCAATAGACTATGGTATGGAATTTACAATTTTTAACCGAAAATAATAACATTTTGTATGTGTAAATGTTACAGTAAATAAGTGAAATTAGGAATTACCTGTAATTACTAGTCAGTTTAGTAAATACGTGTTTTTACTGATTGTTTCAGTTATTACTCGTATCATTCAGCTGTTTACTGACTTGAAATTGAATTTTTTAATTTCATAATTCAAGAAACCAAATAAGAACGAAAAAGGGTATTGATTGTAGAGTGATTTTTTTTTTTGGCGATGAAAACATTTACATGCATTGGTATATGTTACACTGTCATACCAGCTACATTCGATGAAGCATATTCCTATCTTATTAGCGGTTAACACCCTATAAGCTAATAGATTAGTTAGCCGACACTGCTGTCAAATTCACCGCCTTTCTATTATATTATTATTCTATATTTATGTTATTCAACCTCAAGGACAAACAGTAAACAACTAAAAAAACAAGATCTTGGTGCATTTTATGAATACTATTTGTTATGTGTAACTTCAGTTTCTATACACTGTTTCATTCAAGCCTGTCTTATTGTAAAGCTCAAAAGACTGAGGTGGTTATTTTGTGAACTGAAGCATTGATGTCATCAATGCATAAAGATCATATTGCACATGATCTAAAAGAAGGCCTAATAGGATGACATGTTTATTCACGACAAACACATCTTGTTAACATTCAAATGTAAAATAATCATTTTGTTATTGAACTTCAAACAAAAAATATCACCAAAATATGAATATTGAATGGGCAATTAAAGACTTTTTATATATAATTTAAACTGTGTATCGAACACCATGTTAAGCAATTTTTCACTTGACTAGGGAGATGTTAAAATGCAGAAAATGCTCGGTACATGATCAAGGATTTCAAAAATAGAATAGATTAAAAACGCTAGTGCAAGTGCTGTTAGTGTTGCCGTTAAAGTGACAAGCTTAACATATTAAGGTACAGGCTATTTTTACAGTTATGTTTGCTGGCCAAGATACAAATGACATACACTAGTGCGAATATTTAGTTTGTAATTTCAAAATACCTGTCAAATAATGTCAAATACACTTAAGACTTTAGTCTTAATTACTTCTACACGTATCGATGCAGTACATACCCACACTTAATACCTATGTAACGTGCAGCATAGATCAAACTGAAAAATTAAAAGTCCCACTCCTACGATCTGAACAGTCTTTTACCATTTACAAATTATGAACACAAAAGATTGCCCTTCGAATAACAGTAGAATTCTGGAGGCGATAGTTTACAGCTGGAAAAACTACTTTCTGAAAGCATGTTATATGGATTTCAGTTATGTATTGCAGCATTGGTAGATTTTTCGAGGAAAGGACAGCATTTCGCAATGTATATTTTTCGTCAAATTTGAATCGCATCCAAATTTTATGTTCAATATGTGCAGCCAAATTCAATGATGGTAAAGATTTAATAATTCGATAAATTTCCATACCCGTCATTTTATTAGGCTTAAAGGTACAACGTGTTTTAACCAATACAATGACAATCATACAAGTTGAAGAAAGGTGGATCTATAATCACATAACTCTTTTGGTCAACCCTAGAATCAACAAGGCTAGAGTGAAACATACAGAACATTAATGGTCTGCTTAAGCAAAATTGAGCTTATGGTCTGCTGCAAGACAAAGGCAGTCAGCTTGCTTGATCACTGGGAACTGAAGCATGTCTAGACCTTTCAACACTTGAACTCTCTTTTAAATGAGATATGTAGAAAAAAACCAATGTTATCCATGACAAGAGTATTGGGAAGGGCTTGATCTGGTTCGATCCAGTCCATCCCTAACAGTAAGAGGCAGTCACTCTCTTTCTCGGTGTTCTTATACCTTTATTGGCCCTGCATGGTAAAAAACAAAGATAATTGTTTGATTATATTAAAGACGTTTTTTGTATACTATAAAGCAATAAAATGCGGTGTCAAGTTGTAAGTTATGAAAAGAATACTGTGATTGATTATATTGTAAAATCTATATCTGAATTGGGTCAAATACATTTATGCATCTGGTGCCTTCTTAATGTTGTTATAAGCCAATAATGTCACGAAATCAAAAGCTATGTAAAATGACGAGGTTACTTTGACCTAGTACTCATATTTAATAGAAATGTATTAAATTTACGAAACACGGTAAGATTTTAGGGGAGAGGGTGAAAACATGACAGTTAAAGAAATATATGTTGTAACATGACATGGTGAGGCAAGTATAACGTATGAGTGTCCATCAGTCAGTTACATGCCAATTTATTACTGAATTTAAACAATGTCTTGTATTTGATTTGATATACACTTCAGTAAATAATTAATTGTCTGGTAACGTAACGCATTTCATTTAGTTTACGTCAGAAGTGGACATTAATTAGGTTGAGGAACAAACTCGGATACATCTTTGTCCACCATCAGAGTCATCGACTCAGGGTTGACAAAACCAGGTGTTCTGGTCGTGCCGATATGAATGTTTAAGCCTTTTCAACAATTGTGCTAAATAAAAGATATTGCATTGTTTCACTTACCTCATAAGCACTGGTAACTTGTAAATTATAGAATATAGGAATAAATATATGTGCTGCTCCAGCAACAACAAACAGGTATGATAAACCAATCCAAAAATATATAGTGGTAAATCTGAAAAATAGGAATGGACAAAATACAGAATGGACAGTTTGATTTTGAATATATAATTGTACTAAATATTGTTGTGTTTAAAAGGATACTACATGTTAAAATGGACATAATATTTAAAACCTCAAAATATATGTTAACCAACTTTCAAAATTTAATTTTTTGGGGGGTTATCCTAAGAGGTAGTATACCTTTAAACAGCTAAATAAAAAAAAAAGGGCATTGTCTGTGAATTTAATGGAAGCCACACAGATAAGTTATAATAGGCCTAGGTTTTCTGGAAGAACAAGGTAACGGTGATATTCGGTTGTTTCATTTGATAGTTCACTTTACAATGGAAAACTTAAACTCCATGCAGATGGATCTACTAGTTCAAAGTTCAATAGTAGATATTAAGTTCACATCAATAATCTTTCAACAGGTAATACAGAAAATAATTTCAAAGTTTCCAGGAAAAACCTATTTTAACACTAAAAACAAACATAAATCATTCTAAATATATATTATATAGTTTATCTTTATTTTAATCTTTTTTCTATCTTGGGGTACATAAATACGTTTTTATTTTTAAATTCCAAGGTTCATCGTTCGATTTCATTTCAAACAGCACTGTAATGGTGTCGTGTGCAATGGGTTTCTTTATCTCTCCTTATGTCCAGTATCGAGAAATACAGCATCAGAGAGCCAGGATGAACAATTCTAAAATTGGTTTTTGTTTTAGGGTTTTTTTTCAAGGTAAAAAGAACGCAAGATATTTCGCAACTTTACGTTCAAAGTAAGACGAAGGTTTAGTCAAACCCACTGATTTATACCCTTTAAAATAAAGTGAACTGGTTTTTCTATGTGTTGAGGGACCCGACTGTGCATATATTTATATTTATCTTTGCTCTATTATAATTCGGGTGATACAAAAACTTTTCAATTGTAGTACTTCCTGGTCGAAAAAGTGAAAGATATGAAGATATCTTAATGCTTTACAAACCAATAACGTCTTTATTTTTTTTTAACTGACAATAAAATGCCTTTACGCTTACAGACAAGCACCATACCCAAATGCGTAAGATTCGGGTTTTATTTGATCCTGTAACTCGGGCACGACATTTATCAAACAATTAAAATGTGTAGTCATCGCAAAATCGATAATTTAATGTGATTTACAACATTCCGATTCCCCTACCGACGTTTGTGGTCACTGGGTCTTTTAAGCATGAATGGTTTTGTAATAAATCTGGACAAGTATTATGTGAAGCTTCAATATGCACAAGAAAGAGACAATAATTCTATATCATTAGCTAAACAGTGTATCTGCGAGTCGAGAGATAGAAGTCTATTACTTGTTTACTTCATCAAAATATATCAGGCATGCCGATTTTTATTCAGTGTGTGAAAATGATAAGAGAAATTTAAAAATCATCTCAATGTTTTCGATAGCAAACTAACGAGGGAAAGCTTATATATTTTCACTTTATTTCGCTATCACAAACATTTATAAGGTAAACGAGGTTTCTTTCACACCAATCTAGGTGCACGAAAGTCAGTGGACGAGTCAGAGAGAACATTTCCCCCCAGAAATAAAGTTCGTACCCCCATTTGTCTCCACACTTTACTTTCAAAGTTTGATTTGCTCCAAAGAATATGTTGAACACAAAACGAAACGCAAAATTACGAAATTAAGATAAAGTTACGAATATCAATAGAAATGGTGAAAATTCAAATAAAAGTTTATGATAATCAAATATTGATTCTAGTCATTTGCTAAACACTGTTCCAGAATACAATGGTAGCGGCAGCCATAGGTCTACCGAACGTCACATGATATCAGATTCAAGTTCCTTTGGTTAAAGAAATATCGGACACACGAGCGAAACTTCTGAGCGATTTAAAATTTGCCGCGATCGGCCGATAAAATACTCTTTGTTTGTGATCGCTAAGTAGACTTGTTTACTTTTCAGAAAGATTACTACTCATATGTACATAATATGAAGTTATTAAAATTAATTTAATGATGTTAACACAGCCTAAATAAATTTGAGAGTAGCGTCTATTTTAACAGTAAACATTTAAGTCCATTAACAAGTGTACGTATTAGGGTTCAGTGACCTTTAATGACAAATATCCGTATACTTTAAACTTATGACCTATAAAATAGTTCCTGTATTCATTTTCTGAATATTTAACAATATGGTCGAGTATATAGTTGAGCATTCATCATGAAAGAGAGCAAAGCATACTGGCTTTATCGGACATTGACATCTTGACTTGGATTGACTTTTTTTTATGTCTACTCTATACATTGCATATTTATGTGAAATTTGAAACAAGTAATATGTTAAAATGTATGCCCAGATTCATTTCGTGTTTCTTGATGATTCTATAAAGAGTGGCCAGTGTGTAATTTCTCGCGTTTGTTGACATGAGCGGCCTGAGTTTGATCGTCAAATTTTTGGGTAAAACATTAAAGAGTTTCGATGAAACACTAAACATCTATAGTTTCCGAACCCATCTGTAACGCATCAAATCTATGGGCATTATTTTATCATTCACATGCCATTGTCAAAATTGGCTATATTCTATGCTATTGTCTACCTTATTTTAGAAATTCGGATAATTTAACACTAGCAATTGAGCTTAATGTATTCACGAGGAAAATCATCTGACACTGAGGTTAAGGCTATAGTATTCGGATTATCATTTTGACTATGTCTGTTTACTTTAGAGTTTAGTATCATAGCTCACCTACTTAGTAAGTCTAGCTCGACAGACAGGTTTTAGAAAATAGTTTCACACAACAAGGACATCAGATTCGTTTGTCCTTGGATTACTCACTATGGGCCTTCTGAACAACAAATTTGATGTAAAATGTCACTGAATGTCACTCGATATTATTTATTTGAATTTATTAAATGAGCATTAATAACAACTCTTTTAGCTTTAAACAAATGCAGACAATAGGCAGAACAAAGAAAGAAAGAAACAAAACGTACGTTCATGATTCTCGTCTTCATTAGATTGCAAACATTAAATAATCGGGTATTTCTATATAATCCTGGTAATCAAAAAGTACAGTTAAACTTAGAGTATCAAACAAACTTTTTAATTTTTGACTCCAGCTATCACCCCGTCTATAAACACTGCTTGATATTCTTAATGATTTATAAACATAATCTAATTGATTATCATTGAAGAGTATGTTCATCCAGAATTTAAAATAAAGACTTTTAAGTTCTCTGATTGTTTGTGTAGTCCCGCTTCTGATTGTGACAATAAGGTGGTATCATCTGCATACATCCATAGGATAATCATATTGTTAATTATCACAGGATCAAAACCATTTTCACTTATAAAATTATCAAAGTCATTTAAATATACAATTACAATGGGGGTAAGTAGTCCCCTTGCTTTACCCCAGATAATGAGCTTTGTTCCTTGACCATGATATTTAACACAGAGATCCACGTTACGATACATGGATGATATAGATGTTAACATTTTTGTGCTTATACCATAAGATTCGTTAGTTTTGTAAGTAATAATTTGCGATCAATTTTATCGAAACTTTTGGAGTAATAAACGAAAGCACAAAACTACCTTCTGCTAAATATTCCGACACAATTAATTGAAGAATTAAAATACTATCTATGGTACTTTTATGTTTCTGAAATCCAAACTGCATATTAGAGAGGAATTAATGAAAATCTGCCCAAGGTTGTTAAACATGGGAAAATTATTTAGATTTGATAACAAATCCATCAAAGTGCACAATGATTCGCAAACCGAAAAGTTTGTTAGATCTGATTTAAATTTAATTTCTTTCTTCTTGTAGTTCAGGTGAAATTCCATTCAAAATAGGCTTATTCTTAAATTGGGAGACAGCTACCCATTTAAATCAACCTGGGTATATTACTATGTATGATTTTATGTCGGCCTCACTTAAAGTGATTGTTAATAGGTTTTCTGTATTGTTTCTAAGTATCGAGTCACTGATGGCATCAATTTGCACCAATCCAATTCTGTGGTTCCACAACACAAAGTGTCACTAATCGCAACATAATATGCTTCATCACATTAAGCTCTTCGCGATTAGCGATGCCATCAAATACTAATTTTAGTGGAATTGTGGGAACCAAATACGTCTGATTGAAAATTGGACTGATGCAAATTAATACAAAAATTGATACAAAAACGAAAATAAGAAAGTATAATCATACTTGTCGGGTTATATACTTCATGGGCTGTCGTTATATATATATATGTAAAAAGTTAACAAATTCACTCTTCTATAACGAAATAAAATTATGTTTAAAATTTCGTTTAACTTAGCTGTATGATGACATGCTAACTTCAAATCAATATCTAGTTGTATTTTCAAATTGTTACCACTCGAGATATTGTTATTAATCACAGCTGTTTAAAACTAGTCGTAATGTTTTTTGACATTCTAATCACAGTTAGCAACATTTAATAAGTATTAAATCTCAGATTCAACAAATATTATAACTCAGTTTCTAAGAGTAGGCTAGAGTGTGAAAGATATAAAGTTCTATCTTTTCATTAAAAAAAAATAATAATAATATGAATATTTGATACCAGAAAATCGAAAAATATAGACATTGTCGTTGCTTCAAATCTTCTCTGTTGTTGTTTCCTTTAAATTACATCGGAGCAGCAACAGTTTCTGTTCTGTCGATCCAGCGCCTTTTGAAATATTACACAAAAATCAAAAGGCGAAGAAATCCTTAATCTGTGGTCCATAAGTAAAGTATGAGGTAGAATATTTTAAAGGGATTGTAAAGAGGTTTTCTAAATTTTTCATATGCATATAGGACACTGATAGCATAATTTTTCACCATTCCAATTTGCAATCAGACGTTTGTGGTCCTCGCAAAACTGCTTTTTGCGAATAGTGCAATCATCAAACACTTAGATTTGGTAGAATTGCAGGACCCACAGACGTCTTCTTGAAAATTGACGCAATCAGTTTCCCTCTGCACATCCCATAGAATGGAAAATCTGTATGGAAGGGTATTTTTTCATATAGATAATACGTTATGCATTCGGCAAGAATTACTGAGCTCGTTGTCTCGCGCGATCCAGGCCTCTGTGAACAATACGAGAGTGAAATTACCGGCACAGATTTTGTAAGATTATTTAGGTTCGTGTTAAAATATATTTATAGGTCAAGTTGCTGGTTTTGAACATGACCTTGACTTGATCGAGGCCAGTCAGTCACCTATCCAGATCTAGGTTAATGTGACTTTAATACTTGCTGAGATTGTCAGAATGGTTATCTTAAACTAAACATAATTCTGACAACACCGAACAGCTTAATTTTGTGTTAATGAACTGATCTCTGTTCAGACAACATCCTAGTACCTGGCAATCTACAAAAGCAGAGAGTGAAGTAGGATCAGAAATTGTTGTGCTTTCTGCAATGGCGCAGTCAATTTTACGCCCGAGGGAAGTGGAGGCGAAATATCTGAGATTGCCCACTGGCTTTCTGATTCTACGTGACACATTGCTTTCAGTGTAAGAAGTTGCGGACTACAGATTTTAGCAATCTGGCAGATATGGAGAAGCAAGTGGAAAATAATTTGACAAATTAGAACGAACCTCTTTGATATGTTCTCTACACATTTAAATTCAGAAAAGTCAAAAAAGTTCCTCACATAAATCAGACAAAAAGAATTTACAGTTTGTTTGACAAGTAAATCTGAGGGCAATATTAGTTAGTTGTTGGTATCCAGCAAGATATCTTTGCACTAACACCATTTCAAGGACAAATAGAGGTTCTCATTTTCACATTTTATTTTAGAACGGAACGTCTAAATATTAAAAATTTACACGAATCTTGGAAATGGCAAAATCTTTTCAATATTTAATTAAGAATGCATGTGGAAACTAATTTTTTTAGTAAAATTTTGGTATTTTCTTACCTGTACATCTCAGATGGTGTTCCCAACAAGGTGATAGCTGACATAAAACTGGCTAATAAAGACAGAGCAACTGGAAACGGACTCATATTCCGACCTGCTAGTAGAAACTCCTGGATGTTTTTCTTTTTTCTGTCTTTAAACGCAAAATAAAATCCAATTCCTGCCGAAATGACCAATATTAGAGCAAAAATCACATAATCCCAAGCACTAAATGGTTTAATCGTTCTGGTTTGATAGCTATATCCTTCCGACATCGTGAATTCAATTAAAATCACACGAATTTCAAAAAGTTTACTTTATTTACGAAACATACACAAGCACTAGTTTAGCTTATAAGTTGTTGATTGGATTCCAATTTTCAAAGTTACCAGAAAGTTTTTTTTTAGAATAAGCGGAATGTGTTAATAAAGATAAAAACAAAAATATCACATTTCAATGTTAACCTAAGAAAATGACCTACTTCATTCCAGAAAATCACGTTAATATAGGTCACAGTGGTACGAAATCCTCCTACGGTATCCGTTAGTAACTGACAAGTATCAAATAGTTATAATATTGTGAGAAACACCGTAGTATATCTAACACAAGGTCACTGATAAACCGTGGTATAAAGTATGCTAATAATATTTACAACTCAATATGTTGTTGAGAGTTTACTTCACTGTAAAACTACCCTAACCTCCACCACTAGGTTGTGAATGGAGTAACTAACTCACTCTTTTGTTTTGATCGTGAAGTAAGGTTTGTTGTGTGCACTTAAGCCACACCCCCACGGCCATCAGACACAATTACTACGTAAAGTTGAAATCCGGTTGTTATAGTACAAGTGATAAAAACATAAAAGATGAGTTGGCCTCTTTTAAAATGAACATAAATCAAAGTCTGAAACAAAAAACATGTCTCATTCACATCTCAAGTGGTAGGTGTTAGAAATGGAGATTTACTGCAGAAGACTACCAAATCGCTCTATTTTCGTTTTGAGGTTTTCAAACATGTAAATTGTGGTATTAAAAAGGTTCTACACAGATAAGATTTACTTTCATTTAAAGATCAACAAAATATGTTTTATCTGGACATTACGTAAGGCTTTAATATTTTCTTTGGTTTTGTCGCTTTTTATACACAGGACTTCTGCTCTAAAATTTCTAAATATCAGCAATTTTTTGTAACGATCAGGATTATTATTGTTATTAAAACAGTGTGTTATACCATAATATATTCCCTTGTGTTTTCGGTTGTCGTTCAAATCTTTTTTACCATTGAACTTCCTGATGTCGACGATCGCGACTGTCAACTCAGTGTACTAAAAAAGTTGATCAACTGTTTTATCGGTGATAAGATATTATTTGAAAAGTTAAAGGTTAGATATATCTATGTATCATAAAATCATAATTCCACTCACGACTGGCATGTTTCGTCATATTTTTCTATTTATTTGAAATATGTATTAGCCAAAACTCCAAGCGTCATTGTAAGGTAAAAAACTTTGTTATTACGGATTATAGAAGTTAGATATTTATTTGTTATTATAATGGATTGCCGTTACGAAACTAAAACATTGACTGGTGGTGGTAAAATAACTATCGTATCTCTACTGATAATAATAATTGAAGTTTGCTGTTAAAAGGTTGTAATAGTGATAACACTAGTCATCGTTATTTTAATAGTAATATTGAAATTTATTATGATATGATTCCTATCCTGAAACAGCCGTACTTCTATCTCGAAATTCGTGCTTTGTATACAGTTGGTAGAAACAAAATGACGCCTATTTTCAAGGTTGAGTGAGACCCGAAGCGACGTATTTAATATAGGCCTACTTTATGACTCTATTCATTTGTTAATTTTGCATATTGAGCTATATTTACATTTCTACTATCACTGCCTTCAATAAACCAGTTAGTCAAACCGGTGTTTATTTTCCAATAACTGTAGTTTGTCACGTGACAATAAGGCGTATGAATACATCGAAAACGAAAACAAAGATTGACCCAAATTTTTTTTTACCTAGAGTTGGAAAATGATTTACAATTTATTTAAATTTACAATTGTTGTTAATATTTCAATGGAATAATAAATATTTGATAATTTTATCTCCAAATAAGAACTATATTGTTAGGGGCGGGGCGGTGAACTTGATTGACAGATATCGGTGAATTAAGCAACAACGGTTTCGGATATTGTTTTTACAATTAAAAACAATTAAAAAATAGAACATTCATTCCTTAAATAACATACAGACAAAGACCAAAAGGTCTATTTTTTAAAATTAACAATTAATGTACTAACTCCATTGTTCAGGGGGTAGGTAAAATATGTATTTTGAATTAAGTGGCAATTATTTCTTTTTTGGGTCTTTTTTCGTCACAACTCAATGTGTAGACCGAAACATCTGTCTCTATTCCAGCCTCTTATAGCTATTTGGACAGATGTCGGCTGGTGTAGAGACAGAAAAAAGGCTCTGATCTCATCGTAGTTCAATCATACCGACATTTTCTCCCTACACCATTTATCTCACGTCTCCGGTTCCATCAAAGTTTTTTTTTTAGCGAAACTGATCTCGCATCGGCCATTTATTTTAACTGCGTGCGCGGCCAAAAGTTCAAAGGTCACAGAGTCACGTGATACTAACAAAACGAAAGTTATGGCGATGCCCAACACTAATTTACAGTCATAGGAAAGGTAATTTCATATTATGTTAGAAAAAACACATATTCGGGGATGTGGAAAATCCCCAGGGCCTACACACTAGTAGTTATTATCATCACAACATCCAACATAGGGTGGAATAGAGGCAGATGTTTCGGACTTCAAAATGGGGAGATGTACGCAATTGTTAATAATTGTTTTGAAAAGTAGAAAATATAGAAAACGGGTTAGGTGTAAAACGCAGAGCTCTGAGAAATAATAAACAGGACGTAAGACAATCAAATTAACATACATGAATATAAATTACGCAGATCCCTGACCTAGTTATTCTAATTGCATATGTATATACTTGAAGTTCCGTTAACTTTGATTGCACAACACTTGCGGTTATTTGACGTCAAAATATTATCAAACAAATAAATTTGTTTTTATTGCACTTAAAGAGTTCCTGATATATGACGTAACTATCGTTAGAGATAACACATCTTTAAAAACTGTACTGAAGGATTGTGATAAAAATGAAATTTAATTAACGAACTTCCGTGTTCTAGTCTACATGTGAAGTAAGAGGATAAATACTTTCCACTTCCAGGTCCAATTCAAAATATGTCAATCCACGCTCCTTTCGGGCCAAATAAATAGAAAATGAAATTGTCCTGCTATTTCAATGTTTATTCTTAGGATTGTAACACAAGTGGCGCTAATTTGAAATCAAAAGTACAAAGTATATGAAATTTCCCCAATATACCACTATGTACTATCAACCTTAAATCTAAGTAAGTTTAATAATACTCGAATGTCAAGCTATTACGCACTTCTTACATTTACCTTGATTGCACTAGTCTTCTATTATGGACGTTTTTAAATGAAGCAATTTGATTGGATTGTACGCAGGAGAATACATCCTATCAGAGACTTCGACAGAAAGTCTGTGAACACAAAGCCATATTGTTCACAACCTTTCTGTCTAAGGCGTGATTGGCTGAATTTGCTGACGAACAATCCAATCATATCGCTGCATTCCGTGATACAAGAATATTATGCTATTGCAGTTACGTATAAGTACCCAGTTAATAATAGTTTTATATTGTGAAGATGAGTAGTAATATAGTTTCCTGCAGTACCCTATCAGTTACCTACATTTCTTACACGGATTAATGATATACCTTAATGAAACCATGATTTACATTAGAAAACTACTCAGTACTGCCTTCAATACTTACTTAGCACTTACTGGGCACTATGATTTACTTCCAGTCCAGTACTTACTTGGTTTTATGCTGCTATGATTTACCTTGAGTATTTAGGCCTACTTGTATGTTTATTCTATGATTTAGCACTTACTTAGATGAAACTGTGATTGACATTATATATACTTCGTTTAATACTATCTTGATATTTACCTTCAATACCTATTTGGTTTGCTGGTACTTTGATTAACCTCTGAATACCTAAATGGTTTGGTGATATTATTATTTACGTTCTTCCTTATTCTAGGATACGATGATTTACAATATTACCCACTTTGTTTAATGGTACCATGATTACCCTTCAATACTTACTTAGTCTTATGACACTATGATTTACCCTCAATATTTACTTGGTTTGTTGGTACTATTATTTACTTTTAAAAACCTAGTTGGTTTGCTTATTACGTTTAATACTTACCTAGTTTGACGAAGTCATTGGGTTTTTGCTTGGTTTGTTGGTACTAGGAATTCAATCTTAACGTTAGTTAATTGATACTTTGATTTACCTTACTTGCTTTGATAGCACTATGATTTACCTTACATACTTACTTGCTTTGATAGCACTGTGATTTACCTTACATACATACTTACTTGCTTTGATAGCATTGTGATTTATCTTAAATACTGTCGTGGGTTGTTGGTACTATGATTTACCTTAAATACTTACTTTCTTTGATAGCACTGTGATTTACCTTAAATACTTACTTTCTTTGATAGCACTGTGATTTACCTTAAATACTGTCGTTGGTTGTTGATACTATGATTTACCTTAAATACTTAATTGCTTTGATAGTTCTATGATTTATCTTAAATACTTACGTGGTTTGTTGATACTTTGATTTATCTTTGGTAAATTCAATTTTCATATCGCATTAAACCTTTACTTTTTTTGTATTCATATCTGTACATGATTTTTATATGCAGATTGAATTGAATAAGGCGCATGTGTTGTCTGAATCCATGTATAGATTTGAAATTATGTTTTTATTAACAAGAACGATTCAAACCGGACTGAAATTTGTGTACTGTAACTTTTCCTGAAAGTTGGACATCAGGATTTGCATTGGAAATTGGGTTAAGAAAAAAAGATTTCAGATCAACCCACTTACAAATAAACTGTTATCTAACTTCCGGCTTCGTGAGTAGGCAGTGGAGTTTTCCCCAACATAAATTGTTTAGTTATCAGCTGACGACAATCAACATATGTCAGTTAATTTCCCGCCTTTTACTAGATAGTGTTTTAATAAGTACACATATTTGAGCTATAAAACAGTAATATTCCACGAGACCATGATACTTTTTTAAAAATCAAGTAAAAATAGCTTGTAGTTCGGAATATTTTGAAGGCTATAGACACCTCTAAACAACGTTTAGGTTTATAAGCATCTAAACTCATGATGCATTAGCAAACTACAGATCACAGAAATTTATAGTTGTAAATGTTTATTCTATTATAAATTTATTGTTTTGTAAAGGGATTTCAATTGATGGTTCATTGTTACATTTTTAGCAACGACATAATCCTTCGTCACCGTGGGCTTATAATACCAATTATTATAAATATGGATATGAATTTGAGATAAGTCACCTATTTCCGAATATTTTGTTGTGCTATCAATTCTTTTGTTCCCAAGGAGTATTTCCTGTGGCTATGTCCGTGATGATAATAGAACTGGCATCATCTTAAGGAATTCGTAAACAGAATTCCAGTCAGAGGTCTTTGACTTGATGACGTACTGTTTTGATTCTCAAAGAACCATGACGAAATACCAGCGAGGTTTTCTCGTAACCTGAAGACATAAAAACAGTGATATCTTTCACCGCCTGTAGACCACGAGCTGATAAGAAAGACGGAACGTGCTGGAGAATAAATTACTCGACATTTCTGGCTTCTGTTTGCTTGAAAGTTATTTTAATTATATAGGTCAATATCCATCTTATATTTATCAGATGTTATAATGAACTCACGTTACTTTCAAACCATAATTCAGTTGCTTAAATTCACGACTTCAACAAAAGATTGAAATGTTGCTTTTTAAATTTCGGTAAGCGATTTCTGTAAAAATTTAGTGTTCTGAACTACACTTCCCCTTGCTTTCCCTTTCCTTCAATATAATAGTCTTTTCAATACTCAGTAGCAAAACAATATAAAACAATTCACCAGATATTTTTGTATTGTTTATTAATCTAGAGACATAAACTCTTGTTACTTCAGTCAGCATGAGCAATCAGATGAATGTCTTTTATTTCGTGTTAAAAAGTGGCATGCCAAAATCTATGCTATGGGCGTAAGACACTAAAACATCAGATACATAATATAATGACCATGTGTAAGAATATATCATTTGGATTAACAAATACTGAGTTAATGATATTGAATCGTCTAAAGTTGGAAGATAGGTACCTGGTGTTAGTGGTCATACAAGCTTTTTCAATGAAATTCACAGAGGACATAAGCCTTTCTGGAACACTTCTATTTGCACCATTCAGATTTCCCTTCCGACTGGATTAGATTAAACGTCCTATTTGCGAACAGGAAGTTTCTCTTGTAAATATAGAACATGTATATGTTCAAGTGAATCTAGTTAACAATTTGAAAAGTGAACCGATCGATTATCTTATCTACATCTGCGTTTCAAACAAGACATTATTAGTCAGATTTGAAGGTCTGAAATGCTCAGGGCAACCTGAGGTAAGTCACAAACAAATCAATGTACTAACGTATTAGCTCTGGCGATCAATATAAGACCTGCGTCACAAGATAAGAAATCCAAGTAGTAGAATGGTTGACGAAGTGAAAGCCATAGATAATGGACTTGACCCATAAAAGAATAGTTAACTCAATTCTAGCTTTTCATTTCTTGTTTTGTCTAAAATTCAAATCATGAAGAAATCGGAAAACCTCAGAACATGTTGGTTATCATATTTATCCTGAAAGAGCGAAAATAGGTCAAACAAATCACACTTTTAATTTCTTTGAATAAAATTCAAGTTGATTTCATCAGATGTTGTTCTGAGACTGGCGAGTTCATCCGACAACCCTATTCAGATATTATAGCCATATAGGACTCAGACCACTAAAACATTTTATGTAAATGATATTATATGTATTCAGTGTTATTTTTAGAAACGCTCATTTCCCTTTCCTTTTAGGGTTTTAGACCAATTTTTGGTCTAGATTTGGAATTTGATGTCTGAAATGGCATTTTCTGTCAGATTTTGTGAGAGATGATGAAAGAATTTCATGTGGAAGGATAATTCTAAAAATAGTCGTTTTGTATGCAGTGCGGGTGTTGATAAAATGTAGTGGTCTACTTTCAGTTTGCCTAGCTCAAGATTTTCTTGGTCATTGTATATTGAATTTTTGTCCAGAAATTAGGTATTGGCCAGGCTTCCATGTAATTTAATGGAATGTTTTTAACGAGATGTCTGGGAAAAGTTATAGGAGGTTGAATGTCGTGATTTAACATGGAAACAGATAGAAAATGAATTACCGGTCCGAGTCCATATTAGCTATTAGAGGAAGGGACATTACTCTAGTTTCATTTCACGAAACGACAATGGACTGCTCCCTCCCTTTTGGGGTTTTTGCATGCCTATTTTTGACTCATTTTCGGTCTAGCCCTGGTATTTTATGTCTGAAATTGCATTTTCTTTCAGATTTTATGAGATAATGAGAAATTTATAGGCGGAAGAATATTTCTAGAAATAGTTGTCTTGTGATCAGTCCAAGTCAACTGGGTGTTGATATCCGGTAAAGGTCTACTTTCAATTTGACTAGTTCAAAATTTTCATAGTCATCATATATTGATTTTTTTGAGGAGTATTTGTCAGGCTTTCATTCGACATATTAGAAAGTTTTCAACGAGATTTGTGGAAAAAGTTATAGAAGGTTGATATAACATGGAAACAGATAACAAATGAAATACTGGAGTGTGTCCGCACCAAACTCTGTTTACAACCTATCAAATGATGAAACAGGGGTTCCTATCACAGGCTACTGATGAAGAACAGTTACATGGAAAATCAAATTAACGAATTTTTTGTCAAAGGGAAATGATTAAACTGTTATTTAAGTTAACATATACATAAATCTTACTAAGTAAGCAAAGATTTCCCTGCCCAAATTGTTTTCACTGTGTGGTTGCTTAGTCTTCGGAACGTTAGCTAATGCATGGATCAAATGAAAACAGGTTGGTTTTATAAAGTCATCGTCTTATTCCTTATATTTCAAAACAAACCATTTTGAAAGTTTTATATTATTATCCTGTAAATAAAAGATAAAGCATATTGTAACAAATACGCAAATTCATTTCGAAACACGCAGTGTGAATTTAACATTGGAAATCATTTAACATCATACATTATATGTTATTTTTTATACGCCCACATGAAATGAGGGGCGTATATTGCCGTCCGTTGGTATGAGTGTTCGTAATCACCCAAGGATGAACCCTATCGAAAATCAGAAGAATCGAAAAATATTTAGTATGAGTTATTGCCCTTGTTCTTGAAAACGCGTTCAATTTTTAGCTCGTAAACATTCTAGAAGGGACAATTCTTGATGGATTTTAACGAAACTTGGCATGAGTGTTTGTAATCACCCAAGGATGAACCCTATTGAAAATCAGAAGAATCGAAAAAAATATTTAGTATGAGTTATTGCCCTTGTTCTTGAAAACGCGTTCAATTTTTAGCCCCTAAACACACTAGAAGGCACAATTCTTGACAGATTTTGACAAAACTTTCTTATGAGTGTTCGTACTCACCCAAGAATGAACCCTATTGAAAATCAGAAGAATCGAAAAATATTTAGTACGAGTTATTGCCCTTGTTCTTGAAAACGCTTTCAATTTTTAGCTCGTAAACACTCTAGAAGGAACAATTCTTGATGGATTTTAACGAAACTTGGCATGAGTGTTTGTAATCACCCAAGGATGAACCCTATTGAAAATCAGAAGAATCGAAAAATATTACGTTTGAGTTATTGCCCTTGTTCTTAAAAATGCGTTCAATTTTTAGCTCGTAAACACTCTAGAAGGCACAATTCTTGATGGATTTTAACGAAACTTGGCATGAGTGGTTGTTATCAACCAAGGTTAAACCCTATTGAAAATCAGAAAAATCGAAAAATATTTAGTATGAGTTATTGCCCTTGTTCTTGAAAACGCGTTCAATTTTTAGCTCGTAAATACTCTAGAAGGCACAATTATTGACAGATTTTGACGAAACTTGATGTTAGTGTTCGTAATCACCCAAGGATGAACCCTATTGAAAATCAGAAGAATCGAAAAATATTTATTATGAGTTATTGCCCTTGTTCTCGAAAACGCATTAATAATAAAATCTTTAATGACAAGGGTGATTCAATTCTTAGCTTGTAAACACTCTAGAAAAGACAATTCTTGACGGATTTTGACGAACGTGTTTGTTATCACCCAAGGATAAACCCTATTGAAAATCAGAAAAATCGAAAAATATTTAGTATGAATTATTGCCCTTGCTCTTGAAAATGAGTTCAATTTTTAGCTCGTAATCACTCGGTGTGAATGTCCGTAATCACCCAAGGATGAACCCTATTGAAAATCAGAAGAACTGAAAAATATTTAGTATGAGTTACTGCCCTTGTTCTTGAAAACGCTTTCAAATTTAGCTCTTAAACACTAAAAGTCATGATTGTTACTGGATTTTGACAAAATTTGCTTTTAATATTCAGTTCCGCGCTGAAGATTGAATATTTGCCTTCTAAAGTTTTCATGAGCTAAAAATTGAACACGTTTTCAAGAACAAGGGCAATAACTCATACTCAATATTATTCATTATCATTATCGTTGAATATTTCATACTGGTGATTGTTACTGTACTGCTAAATATATTTATTCAAAATCAAAGCTGCCAGTGGGAGTATATTACCTTGCCTGGCAAGCTATCTTTATTCATATTAGTTGTTAACAATCTCAACAAGATCATCGGTGATATATAGCAATAACTATATAAAGAGATCTTTGGAATAAGCGAATGCCAGACTTCGACTTTCATCTATGTACATGGTTTGAATACAACTATTACAAATGCAATTGCATTACTACAAGCAATAATTTTCTATACAAACACTTCCGCTTTATTAAGGTCTCAACAATCGCTATTACAAAACCTATTTTACTCCAAAGTGGATGCCATGATACAATATGAAAGCTGGCCAAAGTAAAACCGAGTGGAATAGCAAAACCTGTGGTGCACTAAGTTTCAAGTAAGCATGACCTATAATATGGCCGCTTGGAAAGTAATATTAAGTAGCGTCAAGGAAAGGTTAAAGCCAAATGATCCTATACTAATAAATACCATCTAAAAATTAATTCTCCCTACTACAAAATATATCACTCAAGCCATTATATAGAGCGAAGTTAGTAAATGGGAATTTTGCTGAGAGAAACTCAACTAAATTATTCAAGAAATGGAGGCAAAAGAGAAAAATCAATACAGGTTTCGGTGATTTGCTTCCAAGTCTAATAGAACGATAGAACGTTGTGTCGACTGGTTCGATTTTCTACTAACTATCTTATCTACTGTGATGAACCACTTGTTATTTACTTCTTGAACGTTTGTTAGTGGTTGTTTTCTTGTTGAACAATTATAAAATCTTACATTACGCTTTCTGCCGACATAATAGAGAATTTGTTAAAGGAAAAAGAGTATGTTGTAGAGGATGACCTATGATTATAGTGAACTGCAGAATGAATCATCTAAACACGTGGTGGGCTTTTAGCCTTTAGATATTAAAATAGATGTGGTAACGATATAGGTAAGTACATAATAAAAATTGATAATAGGATGTAGCTTTCTGAACAATGTCACACCTAGAAGCACCAATAATATTCCTAGATCAGGTTTTTTTTTGCGTATCCCACTCAATATGTGCTTTCATCCACTCGCTTGTACTTTGTCTATATTCAGAGCACATCTTTTCATTTAAAACAGACAAAAGTGTTGCGTTGCGTGGCGTATGTTACTCTTTTTATTTCTAATATATTTAATGTAGTATGTTAAAGGTACACTTTAGTAAAACATAAACTGTATTTTTCAGTTATGTTAAAAATATCATGAGTTGGTTTGTGAACATTGTGGTGTGTTTAACCTTATTACTTCCGGTGAAATCTGCTGTCACAACCCTAGGTTTGTTTCCTTTTTTCTACACTGACTTTATAACAGGGAATATTGATTTCGAGCTTTCGTGGGACATTACAAAACATATTTATTTTCTGTGACAGAGGAAATGTGGTGAATCTAATTAACATATTGAGATGAGATGTCGACTGTTTTTAAGTTTGTAATTCTTTAGGGACTTTTTTCTAGTTTTCCTCACGTTTAGTACTTTCATGTCGTCGTTAGATCTCAAAGGGTCGCAGTGCGGTCGTCGTTAGATCTCAAAGGGTCGCAGTCCGGTGTGACGGGGCTATTAAGAAGCAGTTCGTTAATTTACAACAATCTTGAAAATTGACATGCTGTAAAGATTGATCTGAGATATTTAACTACAGTAGACTAGTCTGTTTACGTGAACACTTTAGTGAGTTTGAGTTCCCGTTCGTTTAATCATTTTAGCTCTTTTATAAAGAAGTTTCACACTGACTGCGACCAATTGCGATCTTACGGCGAATAAAAATCTATGTGTACTTGATATGCAACCTGCAAACATATTGCGTCTCTGATAAAATCTATGGGCTCGGTGCTCTTCATTTTTATTGCGTTTATTGTGAGATGTTACAACGCCTGTCTTTAGTAATTCTCGATTCCGTGTCGATTTTAACGGCGATTATTGGCGACAATATCGCCAACGCTATGTGACGCTTCCTTCACGCTAATACCACAATTATGGCAACCTTACCATGCTCTGAGCTAATTTTCTGTCGCCGTAGCAGTTTAGTAGGAACGCCTTTCTGGTGTGACGGTTCTTGGATAAATTATGTACAATGGTAACTATATACATTTCTACCAGAAGAACAGACTTTCTATATTGTTATCATGCACGATTTCAAAACCTGAATGTCCATTTTGTGCAGAAAACTCTTGTTAATATTAATTAATTTTATTAAATATATAAGGACTTCGGATTAATATTAAATGAGAAAAGAAATGACGTAAATTCTCAGTTGTACTTATTTTCCTTATTACTTAGTTTGAATGCACGTGACAACATGATAAGGCAAATTTCTCTTCGGATATGCTAGACAATGTAATATAGATGTTATAAGTGAACTTGGTCTGGTCACAGGTGGGGGTTGTATACTATAATATATATTATCATGTATTTAATTGAAACATTCGCTAATTAATCAATAACTCGAATAGACAATAGTCATTTGCCCTGGGAACTAAGAGTATTGCTAATATATTATCTGTATTGGAACATTGAACAACGTTTTAATAGCCTATATATTCGAGTGCATTAGGTTTTACACGATTTGTAGTATATTTATTGAATTGTACAATTCCACTTGATAATGTACTAAATTGATTCAATAAACTATTCAACGTTTGTTTTCAGTTACCATTAGTCTAATGAAAATGTAAACATTTACAATATCTTAAAATGTTAGTGATATTTGTGTCATTAAAGGGTATATAAATCTTTAATTTGAATTTGATTTGTATGTAACGTCAATATATTTTGTTTGGGACCAGGTCTCCGCGTAATTTCTTAAATAAGCTACATTTTCAAGTTCAAAAAAATATTCCGATTTGTATTCCAATGCCTTTTGGCTAAACCAAATCCGATTAATCCAAATAAACGAGTCTTATAAACAATAGCACATACAAATGATCTATTTATTTTTAACATGATTATGCAACAGTCTACTACATTTAAGTTAGAATTGACAGCTTTCATATGACCCAATTATATTTTTTCAAAAAAAAAAACCCTTAACCAATAGATGCCAGAAAAATGCTCAGAATAAGTTTGGTTATATCACACCATAATCGTAAGTCATAACCAAAAAGTTATCTCTTCGCGTCCATAGATAACTAAAATATATTCACGTTTCGATTTCAACACTTTACATTGGTATTTTAAAACAATACTTTCAGACGATGCGGGCAAGAATTTGACGTGTTATTCCTGTTTCACCAGAAATGAACGTGGAGCCTGTGTTACCAATGCCACCACTGCTGATATCATATTATGTTCACCTGAAAACACGTATTGCAGGGTAAGTACTTCTTTATGACCCGTTTTAGGGGCTCCAGTTTTGCTAATTAGTTATGTATCCAAAGGGGAAAATTAATGTTGGCTGTATTCTATCCACACCACTACATGTATATGCAGGCTATAAATGTAGAGAGTTGTTGCGGGATACTTGAGCCTTGACACAGCATGGACAGCTTACTGTGGGGGCAGGTTGTCGCTTTCAATGATTAGTTGGTGTGTTTATTTCTATTCTTTTGGCTTGTCATTTCAGGTTTTCTTGCAGCAGACACAGGGTGTGTTTGTATCATTAGAGCGAGGATGTGCTAGTTCGTGTCGGAAAGGTTGTGGAACGTGGGGTGACGATATAGATCATGATGAATGTTATTCGTGTTGTAGGACTGATTTATGTAATACTGGAAATACGGGATTGAGGACAAGATTATCTTTTTATTCTCTGATAAACTCATTTTTTCTTGTTGCGTCCACAATTTGTGTCCGAATGTAGCAGTACAGAATATACTTATAAAAGCTCAAGATGTTGTGTCCATTTTATTTTCAAAAAGGTCCTGATCATATGTATTTCTTTCAGCTCGCAAAGAAAGCGGTACAGAAACCACAAAAAAACTAAGAAACAATCTAAGGACGAGATAATTTATTTGTCTGCCCCTGCAATGTTTGACAAATTTCGAACACAAAGCATCATTTAAGATGAAGTATTTAAAAGGCAGATAGAAAACGAATTTCTCTGAATTATGTATTTAGTATCTTCTGCCCAATTTAAACTCCGGCATGAAATAGGGAACGCATATCGTACACCAATGGTGAATTTGTTTATTATTACCTTAGGATGAAATTAAAATATATAAAAAGTTACCGCCCTTGTTTTTTTTAAACTAGTTCAATTCTTAGCTGCAAAAGGCCCAATTCTTGGATTTTGTCGAAACTTGATGAAACCGTCATCATCACCTTAGTATGTACTCTTTTGAAAAAAAAGAAAGCCCTTGTTTTTCGACTCGCTCGTGACGTATTTGGACAAAACTTGGTGAAATTATTTATTTTTGCCTAAAGAAGAGTCCTTATAAAAACTTTAAAAAAGGTTCTAGAAGAAATCAATGACTAAAGGTTCCATATCGTTGTTTTGCTGTTATCTGTTTGCCAAATTTTCCTAATCAAACAAATCTTGTAGTAGGTGTATGTTACCATGTCTGGTCTGTATAATGCTGCCTTATGAATGTTGTATTCAGTGTTTTATGTGAAATGACTGTAATGGATTTGTGAGTGAAACCCTTCTATACCATATCGGCCTCAAATTTCCATTCTCTCTAAATGTTTGAATCATTATATAACCTTTATAAGAAAAACCAGTTACTTAAATCATTCACTGATAAATTATCGGTAATCCGTTGACGACTTTCAAGGTAATGATGACACGTGCCGTGACTAATAATTCAAGGCATAATAACTGATTCAATTAAAAAATCGATTTCCATTGTTTGACTGATTGAACATTACTCCATTAACATTTACTAACTCTTATGTGGACTGACTTTTGACTATTCTATCATTTACAAAGTTTAAATTGCGATAAATTAGCTGATCTTCAACAATAATCATCTACATCTCGTAACTTTGGCATCGTATCACGAATACGGGTCTTATCAGCCCGTAATAGATTTAGCCGCATGACTTCGTTTTGTGGGTGTGGAAATAAGATTGGTGCTATTTGAATCTGATCCCAATCAGATCGGTAGAACGGAAATGAGGACATTTAAAGAAAACACAAAATCGCTTTGGCGCCGCCCGTTTGAAGACATAACGACACATTTTTTCCACGTAAGGTTTGACAAATGAAGGTCGTGGGTTTGAACACGATTGGACGATTGTACATCTAATTGTTAAAGTCAGTGGTGAAATTAAGAGCATCGATTAGGAAACTGTGAGTTCTTACCGTGAAAGGAAACACGAAATCATCGCTGGTTATAAACGGAAGGGAATTTCAATTGTGATGGTTTGTTTTATCATGCCTAACCAGATTTGATCCTTGAAGTGCTGATACATAGAAAGAATTAAGATCTCATCAAACAAGAGTCAGAACCTGCACCCTCTATTACTTGGGCTAAGTATGGAATTTTTGTCATTGCCAATGAACCATCGTTTTGTTAAAATATAAGAAGATACAAAAACATATTCATGAAGTCAATGAAGTTCATGAAGGACAATACTGGATATTGACCTGGCCCTCATATGACATATAGGAAAGTTTTCAACGAGATTTCTGGAAAAAAGTTAAAAGGTTGAATTTGGAAGAGATACTACATGAATTAGTAGAGTCCGTAAAAGCCCGGATTGCGACCATTTGCGATCTTACGACGATTTAGTCGACAAACGTGAAGAAAAGGCGAGAAAAAGTTCCTTATAATTACAAATTCTACTAAAGTCGCTATCAACTTGCGACCACATTGCGTTCCAAAGGCGCGTTTCTAATAAAATCTATGGACTTGGTGCACTTCATTTTATTGTTTTATTGAGATTTTTATCTAAAGACATTCTCGGTTCCGTGGCGATCTCAACGTCGATAATCACAATGGCGCTAACCGTACGGTACGATCTTACGCTTCCTTCACGCTTATACCACGATTATTACGACCTAAACCTGCTCTGAGCAAATTTTCTGTCGCTGTAGCAGCTCAGTAAGGATGCTTTTTCGGTGTGATGGCGCTATTAGATGTAAATTTATCATTTATGCTGATTTATAGTCTTATCCTTGTCAGTTTTTGTCAATGCTAGGTCCAATTTCTGCTTTATCATACTTCTTGAACTAAATGAAACTAACCAGATTTCTTTGATTAGATTTTTTTGAAATTATGTATGAGTACATTGAATAACAATGCGTTTGGTCCAAATCATTGTTGTATATATTGTTCAGTGAAAATAAAGATTTTTGCCATTTTCCTACAGTTTTTAGTGTCGAATATGAAATTAATAGTGGTCTGTTATTGTCGTTAAGGGAAGCAATAACGCGTCTGAAGCGAGACCAAGGCTACCGCTTCATTGATTTACATTTAACTCCGACATTTCGGTACCCCTTCAGGGCTTTCAAACACTGTTGTGAATTTCAGTGAATATTACAAAACACATTCCAAAGCAGACGTGTTCCACGCGTACTAACTTGTTTTAAGAATTGTGCCAACATTTGAAAAGCTTTTCTTCTTGTTTTTTTTTTAATGAAAAAGGATATATCAAAAGAATAAATGTTTGTATTGAACCAGATTGTCGATCAATTCTCAAGTTAGTTTACTATCTAGAAAATCTTTTGAAGCCCTTATTAATTTCTTTCTTTTATAATATTCTTTAGCGACACCATATACATTTCAAAATATTGATTTTGTTACCAGTTGAAATTTTAGTATATTTACTGTATTCAGAATTGTGCCTTTCATTAATTGTAAGTCAATGGTTGAAACTTCATATACATGCATTGGAAATCGCTGTAAACTTTTTGTTATCTAGTTGTAAACAGTTGTTCCCTTACTTTATTTAAATATGCAGTAATGCCCTACAGTTAAAGCTGAACATAGACTATATAAACAATATCAAATTGTTCGAAATTCGCTTCTTACGGCAAACTTTAAGGGTATGTAACCTATGTGAACTACGTGAGTTAAATATAAAAGTCTACGATTGGCATCTGGTGGAAAGAAAAGAATAATAATTTAAGTAGATTAAGTACTCCTCAACTTGTGATTGTAAGTCTAGTGCTTGACTGTAATTAATCGTTGATATCATAAAGAATGAAATGAATATGTATGTGTTGTACTGATATTAGGTTTGTCAATTAGATTTGTCACTTAAATCTACAGACAATCTATATAAAAAGATAAATAATATTGTGAATAGACGTCATTGTGATCATATTCATTTATAATTCAGTCTGATGTGCTTTTATGACGTTCCTTCACTGAAAAGTTTACAAAATTCCCTGTACAGTCTGATACAATGCTAAATTAAAGGGTTTAGAATGTTAATATTTTTTTCATAATGCGATATTTTATGATCAGACCTTAATGACAATCATATAGTTTTTAGTGGTTCAAGACATAAACCTGTGCATATATAACTGCTTCACATCGTTGATTTTGTCCTCTTTCGACATTGTCCTTCTTCACTAGTCTAATATTCTACATCAATTTACAATTACCACAGTCTGACAGCTGCCATGTATTTTACTTGATATAAGAAAATTAAGAAACCAATTTAATCGTGGTATGACGCACGAGGAAGAAATATTACTGGTTTCATCAGGTGTTTTTGTCTTACGGTATGACAAAGAGAATGCCATGTTTTTTCTTCATTTGATGGATGGCCATTTAACTATGTTTTCAGCATCGACATCCTGACTTTACTGATAAAGCTTTAAATATTCGAGCTTCATCATCATTTGTTATACCCCATAAAAAATCCCATTTCGATCCCAGATCACATGCCGATCGCTATGATGCTTATTTCTTATTGGAACAACTTTATAATGCGGTAACAAATAGCATATAAGGTATTACATGATATTATTAGCAGAATATTTCTATCCTCGGGTATTAGGTCCAAAGTATGCTTCAAATCACAAGTGATGCATACCTTTCAAACTGTATATCATAAACAAGCCTAAATTTATCAATCGAACTATGTTTATTAGGCCATAATAAAACTTGAATCTACCGCTACGTTTTATTTTAAATTTGTTATGACAGCATGTTTTTATTGACTCCAATGATTGATTGCTAAATTCCGTAGATGGAAAATTTTTCGTAAATTTTTATCTTCCAAGAATTCCCTAAGCTTGACTTTATTTACCGGATACATGTAAAGAATAAGAACATTGGCATTCCAGAGCATCACTGATGAACAAAACAAATCTAAGACAAAAAGCTTTTGCGATAAATTCATTAATTGTCTTGTTTATCAAGACATTTCTTATTGATTTATACTTCAGAAAGGACCAGTTAATCGTAGCTAATAATGGAAATAAATCGATTATCAGCAGACATGCGCGGCAAACATCCTTCTGGCAAATATTAGCAGACGAAGAATAGTGGAAGCAGAAGTAATGATGTCACAGAACGCGATGACCTTTTGGTAGAATGTTAAGAATTGCGGAATATGAAAGAGTAAAATTGAAATGATACTTAACAGTGAAGAATGGAATATCAGTCAGCATGAAAATCGTTTACGACAAATTTTTAATGATTTTCTTGACAATTTTGTACTGGTGTCAAGTCTCAGCAGGTAGGGATAACTTTTAGTATCGCTTAAGTTTATAGATTAATCCATAGCACATGCAACTTTTTAATAACCATTCGACAGCCTTTATTTTCTATCAACGATGAACAATCACTTGGAATAACGGTTCTTTTAATACTCGAATCATGCTATTACCATAGAAATTACCAGTAACGCTTCTGTTAACAAGGGTTTTAAAGAACTAAAAGAGTAATAGAGCAATTTTTCCTCGCTAACCGAAAGATTCGAAATCGACCTAACAAGCGCTTAGTAGTTAAGATGAGATTGTCGAAAATCTGCAGCTCCTCATCAAATTTGGGAATATAGACTAAAACAGATATTCCATAGAGTACAAGTATATCAAGAATATCGAGTAGCAAATTTCATCATGTAGTGTTATGTTTATAAGAATAATATTCAAATTATGTAATGGCGTATGGTTCAAATGCTCAACAATCCAGATGTCACTTAGTTAGAATTGTAGAAGGATTTTGAAACCAGGCTTACTATCTATAGAAATAGAAATTATAATGTACGGAATTTAGCAAACAACAATCAAAAACGTTTGCTACAACTCGTGTTAAAGTATTGAAGGGATTGAACAGAAAAAATAATTTAATCTCGTCTATCCAGTGATATCAGCTACTTTCATTCTTAAATGAATTCGGAAAAGTTCAACATCAGGATGATTGATGAATAACAGCATCTAGTCTGATAGCTTATGCAGTGTATTTCAAATATAGTCTTTTAACTGTGTTATATTTTATATCATTGTAGCACGTGTGTATTTAGGGGATAATGTTTGGGCCTCCACCGCTACTAGTACGCTCTAAAATCCTGAAGGGGAGCCGAGATGCTCGGATGCCCCCACGTCAATGAAATCCTTTGTACGCCACTGAACTTAGGGGACAATATTATTGCAGGCTCAATATTTCAATGTAATATCCCTTTATTTTACTGAACGCGGGCGTCAGAGTGACCATAATATCTGATTATTGTTAAACTATACAACATTGCCATTTCAAAGTTTTCGAAGATGGTCCTAAACATCACTTAGAAGTAACGATTTAACAATAAAGGTTTTCTTAAACTCTAGTATTCGTTTTACAAATGGACCAGGATTTTTACATTTATCATCTACACACAAGAACTTCCCTGTGAAATCTGGTACGAAATTTATCTGTGGAGTAAGGATGAACGACATCTATCCATGATATGAGTTGATATTAGGGCATTCCCATGATAGAGTAAACATTTGAAATTGCACAAAGTCGATATGCCATTATTCCGATTCGCTGTGTAACATATTCAGCTTCAAGAAAACTGCCAAGGGTTTCCGAATGCATCTAGAATGTCACTATTATTTATTTCCCTGAGATTCAAGTGACACATGGCATTAGATGTCATTATCAAACCCATCCCAATTTTTGGTTGATGATAATGATCCTGTAATATTTTCGCACGCAAATATATTTCATCATCACTTCACACCTGCATAATGTAAACCGACAACTATTGAGATACTTCTATCTTGATCATCTTACAATTAATTTTCTAATTTAGATACGAAATTACCGTCAAGTATTTACTCTGAAATAAGATGAAATAAAATTAAAAATGAATTGTGTGTTATTACCACGACATTCTGCAATTATTTATTATAACAGGGTGTTTCTCTACAATTTTAGGCACTATCGAATACAGAAATCATGTTCATGATGACAGAATAATGTTTTTTCGTAGGTATGTGAACTATTATAAGACAGTATAAAAGCTGGATCATTTTGATGGGTTTTAAAACGATCTTACCATTGTAACCATGATGTATTCACTGATATCCGTAGTTTCTGTTCTGTTACTAGGAGTTGTGTCCTGTGATCAGGAGCCTCCAAAGATTCCAGATAATATTACAAGAATAATTTTACATATACTTGAAAGTGATGATTTCAGTCAAGCAGTAACACCAATAGTGGAGGATAACGACGATACAGATAAAACCGACCGAGAAAGGAGATCTATTAGACATGGCTACCATTCACCTTATGTTGTTGGAAACTATCCTTATTCCGACCCATTCTATACGCCGAGTACTAGAACTGGTAACATCAACAATGGTGTTCTAGGAACAGGTGGAGCTATTAATACTGGTTATCTGGGACAAGGTCCTTATGGCGCATACACCAATAACGGAGCTGTGACCAACACACTTGGTGGACCAATCAATAACTATGGTACAGTTAGCGGTCTCAACAACGGACCAGTGACAAATTTTATAAGTAATTTTTATCCAGGAGGATGGTATTCCAGATCAGGGGAGATTACTCGAGATTATTACAGACAAGGCAGTTATGCGAACGCCTTATCTTATTTCAGGGTATTACCTTTACAGCAAGTCAGTCCATTAGTGAATACTGGTTACCCTGGGTATACAGGCCTATATACAACAGGGCGTAACTCTTACTCTGTTAACGTCTGTAGAAATTGTTATGGTGGTACCTCCGGTATTGGAGTACGATCTAATCTGGAACCCTACAACTTCCTGGAGAGACGATTCTTATTTGTTCCAGAATTCAACCCCGGTGTTTACAGAACAACCGGATGTGTCAGAAACTGCAATGTTGGATTATAAAAAGGAAGCTTTTGATCACACGAAATTATTCTAAATAAATATTTTAACAGATTCGTTACAAATGCCTTTTTTTAAATTAAATTGTATACCCCAACAAACAATGAGATCGTATTTCACAAATATCTGTCGATGATGACCTAATTTTTATCATCGAAATTGACAGGTGACTGCTGCAAGTATAGTTTTCGGTCAATTCTGATTAAACTTGGTAAATATCAAAAATCACAGGAAAGATTTTTAAATCCCGAACAGATCATGTTTTGAAGTTTATTCTATTTGTCTATATCTGATGCAATACGCTTTCACTATGATGATTACATTGCATGCCTTGTTATAATAATAAGTACCGGATATTGTTTATTTAAATCATGTATATTCAATGAGAGACAAATGTTCAATAACAGAATCGTTTTATAATTCATCTGTTTCTAATCATCCTCTACTTGTCATTTGCATACTGTCTGAACCAGGATATCTGATGGCTGTTGACCTCCTGTAGACGATCATTTTCCTACTTCTCAGAGAAATATGAAGCTATTGAAGAAGAAAGACATAAATCTACCGATTACCCTACATGTTAGTAAAATAGATAAATTTATGTAGAAAACGATCAATAGAAGTCAATCTCGCAATAATCTTAGATTTAAACGACATAATCGATATTAACTTCCGGTCCTTTCGTATCTAGTTTTCTTTCTGCTTCCGGTTCGTGGTCATTATTTGAGTATCATGACGTTTCACACCATAAATATCGTATAATGTCGGCAACTTTTATTATTTCATGTAATTTAAATGTAGTTTGTGTTAGTCGTACACCCGTTCCCACCCAAATATAGTAAATAATCTGATGCAACCTGATTTTCAGCTAATTTTTGAACGGATAGGTTACCATTGTTAAACTAATTAATACATTATCAAAACCAGGCAGACATAAAGACGTACAATCTTTTATTTCAAATGCATAGTTTATAATTTCAAAATATACAACTATATGTAAAATTGTCGCAGATAAACCAGTTCATTTCAATCTCCTAACAATGACCACCATGGCAGCCATCAGAATACCCTCCACAACTACCACCATAACAACCAGCTCCGACAGCAACAGGTGCAGCTGCTACAGCTACAGGTGCTGCAGCAACAGCTACAGGGGCTGCAGCAACAGCCACGGGTGCAGCTACTCTTACACCATATCCACCATAACCTACTCCATTACCATGGAAATTATTCACATTGATATTATTGACAGATGGTGTAAATACAAACTGTCTGGATAAATAATTATAGGGAGCGTTGTTACATCTAATTCCTATACCCGAATTACCACCATAACAACTTCCACATGCATTAACTGTGTACGTTCTACCATGACCACCAAAAAGTTGTCCACTGTAGCCACCTGACACCGGATGAACACTGACAAGAGGAAGTGCTTTGAAATAATTCATACAATTTCCATATCCCCCAGTTCTATAGTAGTTATGGACGATATGGTTATTCTGATATACAACTCTTCCTGGGGTAAAGCAACTTGAGAAACGCACTCCTACTCCAGGATAGGAACCACAACCTCCACCACCACCAAAGTAACCAGCAGATCTCTTCTTTCTCGGATCTGAATCTCCCTGTTCATCTCCACCTACTGGCACAGTGGTGATGTTGACAAAGCCGTCTTTCTCGAAGACTTTCAGAAGCGTATCCAATGTTTCTTTATCCCAAAACTCGGTTCCCGATACATCTACTGGAGGGTGAGTCGGTGCATCAGTGGGAACTTCAGCATCATTTGGATCAGCATATGGCTGTGCTGAAACGGCTCCAATGATAAGAAGGAATACCAATGTAACAATAGCCATTCTAACAAGAAAGGATCACCGATAGCAATGATACCCAATGTCTCTCATTTTAGTCTTATATACTTTTCAAATTTAAATTATTTCCTACTCGAAATCAAAAATTGTAATTTTGAGGTGTCAGATTAATTTGTTTTGTTTTAAAGTAAATTGAATCAAGATAGGAAACGTTTTGGATTGTTTTCGTTTATTGATTCTTTGTTGTTGACAATGATGAGATGCAAATTTTTCTGAATTCTGTACTTGGGTTGAATGTCCTAATTTACAATCAAGAGATTAATGAATGGAATTGAAAATCGAAATGTTTAAAATCAATAAGCAGGCAATTACTGGTTTTTAAATTAATAGTTTTTAATGTCATGGTGAAACCTTTGTTTGTATTATTACGTGTATCTAGGAGATTTGAGTACACCCGGGTTCAGTATATATAATATGAAATATGTTGTATGTATTTAATCAATTTGTTTTAATTAATATCGCATCGTTTTCAAAACGTAGCATAACCTCTCCATCTCGCATACACCATCATAGTAACACCGGGCTTGTTAACTCATACTGATCCTAAGAAAGGCAAGATTTCTCTAAAATCAGACGTCTTAAGTAACTTTAAACAATTTCCAAACCTCCTGTTCAGATCGTTCTCAACCATTCCCATTCTAGACTTTCTTGATTAGGTGAGATTGTGAGAAAATTGTATTAAAGATTAACAAACCCTATTTGTTTTGTAATTTCTATTTTAGTACACAAGTTTCTTTTAATAACAATGTAATCAATTTCATAAACTAAATTTAGTTAGTCAATGTCAAGTCAAGAGTGAAGGTGCAGACTGTAATTAGCTTTGAGAACATCTAAGTTGTTAGTGCGAGTAAACCCAAACTCTGGTTCAAAACTTGACCCAGGTTGAATTAGGTTTGGCTGGAAAAAGAAGAAAAACTGGTGAGATAGTTGAAGAAACACCTGATGTTTTAAAGAAATTGAGTCTTCTAAATATCTGGTTAGCTATTTGATGCAGCTAGCCGTAGAGCTTCTACTGATGAAAAGTGACTTCAGTCTCGTCTTTGTCACCTCTGATGCCCGTCTTCATTAGCCCACATGTTGAAAATAAGTAGGACGTAAAACTACATTCATTTCAATTTGATTACTTGAAAACAATACAACCCCGCTTAGAATTTGCCACTTGAAAAAAGTCGCCAACATTCACTCTTCTAATGTTAGGAACAGACGAGCGTATTTACGCTAGATCCCGACGATTACAATCGAGAGCAAATTTTACGCCCCATTTTAAGGGACACACCAAGCGAATATTTTAGAGCGTTTATTACTCGGTAAAATTTTGCTGTCGACCACGTGTTTGGTATACGATAGCAGAGGAAGCCATATCACATGATATCAGAATCAAGTCAGATTGATTTCAGAAATATCGATCGCCCGAAAGAAACTGACACAGTACCGAATTCTTTGAGCGATTGAACAGAAATGCAACTCAATTTTATTGTATCAACGGTTGGATACCAACTCTTTGTAAAAGCATACGAGTATCAAAAATTTGACAGCGAAGTATTAGAGAATTGTATCCCTTTGATTTAAATTTGACATCAGGATATTTACCTTGCTATCAAGTCTAATGACTAATTGTTTTATAGGTGTCGTCTTACCTATGTTTCTATAATGGTGGTTAAATATTCAGATACAGTGAACTTGATCATTGTGTAAAATAAGTTTTAAACATTAAAGTGAGGGTTTGAGCCAGCTTTATAAAAACGGGAATTTTGTATTAAAGGATAAAAGTATAGGATAAAACACTTTCCTAGGGGATTTATGATATTTCAAATCACGCGTCGCGAGTGATTTTTCCGGGGTAAAGTTTTTAGATATCATGAAACCTAGAGGGAAAATGTTTTATCTGACTTATAAACCGGCAAGCACTTATTTGCTGATAAAAAAAACAATAAATAATAATGATCTACAAAGTCGGTATAATCTGATATTTCCCCCACAATAGGGAAACAATACGAATAAAATACTTACAGTGCAAATTGTAAGATAACACAAATAGCATGCACATACCAGTTGTTTTAAAAACTAAAATATTCTATTGAAGAGGCGACCAGGGAGTTATACTTTCTATTTCGCTATTTGAAAAGTTAGCCTTCACTTAAGTCAGGGATAATATGGACAATTTCCCTGGGATTTTATAAAAAAAGGTAATATTATATGAAGCGATATAAAAGCCTGCAAGAAAAAAACGAAGATGACACGGTTTATTAGACCAAAAATTGGAAATAGGTGCATTCTCTCCCTTGAATTACAAGACTGAATAATATATTGCATAGAATTCACGTTCAGAATCACCAAAAAAAAGAATAATTAAAGAATTAAAAGCTAGTGTGTCATTTGATACGGCCCGATTTAGATTTAGAATAAAGTCTGTAGTGTTTTGATTTCTAATTTGTAGTGTGGAATTCGGTAACTTATCATATAATACAATGATACTCTTCTACAATAATATTGTTTGCTTTAAAATCAAAACTTGAAAAGGTTCTTACATATAGTTCCTTGTTTTGTTGAAGATTTAATTACTAATTCTATCCTCACGCACAATAATTAATTGATATAATTTTATAACAGTGTAGGCTGCTGGCGCGTGAAGCTTTTACTAAAAGCATTTTTTTCCTCTTCAAATGTGCCGGATAATTTGACGTGTTCTGAACGACATAACCTTCATTATAGTGTAGACGATAAAAAACAGCACAGTACTCATAAAATTATATTTAACTTAAGACTTCTAAGCAAAACGAATATGAATTGAAAGTATGTCATTTTGTGATGACTTCGGATCATGTTGTTTCAGAATCAACTAGGAAGTCTAATGGTTCGTTCTAAGAGCCATTGGGCGTGTGTGCGTGGTTGGTTCTATTTTTTGATTGGTCATGTTCCATAGTGTGATTATACTACCCTTGAGCTCAATGGTTCCTCACTGCTACTGTTTCGCGATCTGCCAATTGACACGATTTTCCTATGCTCTTTTGATATGTGCTTCTATAAGCTTTTAAGGTGGGTTCTGGTGGACTAGAATAGGACATTTCTGATATTAATTCCATTTTTTCTGGATTTCCTTTCATTAATTTTGTGCTTGTATTGGTTGCGGCAAAAGTACTTAAGATATGGGCAAAATTGCTTAGCCAAATTGCTTTGCTTAGTAATGCATTGTACAGATAGCAACTGTTTTTTGAGATGCGCATATTTTTTCTTCTGGTATTGCATTTGGTAGGGCTTTGAATGACTTAATGCTTTTCAACTCTTGCTTATTTATTTCGAATAATATTTGAATTAAAAAAAAAACAGACAAATAACATAAATTATACGTATCAATAGATTTACTTCTCAGATTGTTAACATACTACACCAGCTCCGGGAGTGCATCCAGAGTGGCCAGCATAACCACTACAGTCAGCTCCGTTACAAGAAACTCGTCCAAAGGAACCTTGGGGGTATCCGTAGTTGTAGGCAGGAACGTAGTTGCTTCCATATCTTCCATAACCAGCGGAATATCCGTAACCTCCATTAGAACGATAACCTCCATTACCTCCATAACCCCCTTGACTGTAGCCTCCATCTTCAACACTGACGCCAACTCTGAATATAAACTGTCGGACGAGGTTTCCATTTGGACTTCCCACACCTTGGAAAGAAATTCCAGGATTTCCATTATAGCAGCTTCGACAGGCATCGACATTGTAGGCACGGTTACCAGCCAATGTCAGACGTCCAGAATATCCAGTAGCAGTTGACGCAACATTGGATAAGGGCAAAGAGTTGAAGTAATTTAAGCAGTTACCATAGTTTCCTTGTCTGTAATAATTTCTATATAAGGTGTTACTTGCATAATATCCGTTTCCAGGAGTGAAACATCTAACGAAATTGGTTCCAGTAGCAGGGTAGGCACCACATCCAGCTGCATAGCCTCCGTAACCACCAGCATTACCTCCAGCATAACCACCGCCATAATTACCACCACTATAACCTCCCAATTGTCCTAAGAATCCCCCACTATGAACAGCAGATCTCTTCTTTCTGGCAGCAACAGTTGTCAAATCGACGAATCCGTCATCTTCATAGACTACAACAGCGCTAATGACTTCGGTTTCTGACTTCGGTTGGTCTGTTGTTGGTGGTTGCGATGTTGGTGGTTCTGTTTGAGCAAAAACAGCGACTGTCAAAAGACAGATAGTAAAAATACCAGAAATCATGATGACGAGACAAAGATCACTATCGTCTGCCGAAATTGTGATAACCGAAACTCGTTTCACGTGCTTTTATACTTTATTTTGTGAGGTGTAGTCAGACATACGTCAAATTATGCAAATTTTTTAGAGTAATTCTTGGTCTTTTGCGTTCTTTGGTTTTTTGGGGGAAGGTTTGGTGTTTGTTTCGATAGCTTTAAGATTCGCAGAACATAACCCATGTAATCATTATTGACCTGATCAGGGAGGCAATATGGCAATTAAGAAAGAGAATCGGGGAAATAAGATGTTGAAAGACGACTCAACACGTCTCAATTGTAACCGTCAAGAGCAATTAGTCGTTCATTACCTCCCCCGTGTTCTTATTTTAAGAGAACGTAGATTGAATACGTAATCTGTGGCCTGTGGCGATGAATAAATGTAAACGTTGTCTACACAATTAAATGATATAACATTGCTTTGAATTTCAATCTTTGGTGACAATTTCTATTTTTGTCGTCAAAAATAAAATCAAATATCATAATCAAGGGGTGGGGAGGATAGTACATCTCGGACACTGGCTAATTACGCCTTTATTTTGTTGACTGACTCTGGACATGTTGACAGTTGTACTGTTTACCAAGTTTCTACTAGAAGTTGGGTTGTTGTAATTGATGAAGGTTCTACGAATCCTTCACTCGTAATTCAAACTTGAATTTTCGTCTCGTAAGCTACTGGTATCTAAGACCAACTTTTTCGTTGTGTATATAGAAAGAATTCCTGTAGTGAGGCCAAGAGATTTTTTTAGGAAAGCCTTATTAACTTACTAGGCGTATTGAAAAAGCAACGCGCTTAACTAGACTGGCCGCCGAAGATATAACCAATACAAAACTTAATGGACAGATTAGGGAGATGATTATGACCAAATTAGTCCAAACTACACTAACACGAAGATACAATGCATGATTATAATGTTCTTAGATTTTAATAAGTCAATCATTAAATTGCATTGAAACTTATTCTGGTATTTCTATTTATCCTCTTTAAAACAGTTTTAAATTGTGAATATGTGTCATAATCTGTAATATTATATTACATTGCGTTATAATTAGATAATTCTAATTAAATCTAGGTAACTTCATTAGCCTACACAAACTGTATCATGTTACATTAACATCATATAATTATACAGGATAATTTATTAACGGGATGGATTCGAATAAAAAGATAGCTTGCCAGGCAAGATAATATATGCCCACTAGCAGCTTTGATTTTGAATAGAAATATTTGGCAGTATAGAAACAATCACCAGTATGAAATATTCAACCTTCATATTCTTCTTTTGAACTTTTTGTGGCGATACTGAATAATATTACCAAGTTTTGTCAAAATCCGACAAAAAATGAAATGAATGGAGTTTTACGTCCTACTTTTCTGCACCATGTGGGCTGACAAAAAACGTGCCACTATGTGTTTAAGAGCTCAAAAATGAAAGCGTTTTCAAGAACAAGGTCAATCACTCATATAAAACATTTTCGATTCCTCTGATTTTCAATAGTTTTCATCCAATCGCACCAAGTTTCATCTAAATCTGTCAAGAATTGTGCCTTTTAGAGTGTTTACAAGTTAGAAAATTGAACACGTTTACAAGAACAAGGGCAATAACTAAGAATAAATATTTTTCGATTTTTCCGAGTTTCGATAGGGTTCATCCTAAGGTGGTTACTAACACTCATACCAAGTTTCATACCAAGTTTCATCTATTCCCCAACTTCCCCCCTTTGCAACTCAAAAGACAGGTCTTTCGGGCAAGTCGTAGACGAAAAAAAATTGATCCGCCTAATTTCTCTTATCTAATTTTGCTCGCAATTTTTTTACATCGTTAATAAATTTCCTGTCTTCTGTTTCTAAAAATTCGTAATAATGTCACTGTTTTTTTACATTTAATAATGAAATCGTACCTTTGCCCGAAGATTTACTATACTCCGTACATAAAACTGTTTTGAAATCGTAGCCCTATTGTAATAGTACGAATGCCGGGTCAGGACTTCCAACTTCCGATTTTCAAGTTTTTCTTTCACTTCCGACTTCCGACTTCCAAGTTTTTTTTTTCACTTCCGACTTCCGACTTTTTTTCACTTCGGGAGTTATTGCCCTTTGATCACTATTTCGTAGATAAAGGGAACATTCTCTTCATTATCACAATACTGGTAAAATTGCCAGTAAAACGGCACTTTAATCAATTTTCATGTAAGTTTGGATGGTGATATTGATATCCTGTCTTTCATCAAAAGAAACATGAAGGATCAACATCTTCCAACTGCCGTATCTCTCTACCTCAGCCTCAAGCCAGTGGCACACTGGTGTTAAGAAATGTTTATGTTATAGTCCCATAAAAAGATTTACAGCAAAAGAACTTTTATTTACTGTTCAGTGAGCATTTGTTTGTATTTTGTGTTTTATTATTATTCATGTTAGATTGATGCCGACCCATAATTCCAACTGGAAAAAATCAAAAAAGTCAAATGATGCTCAAATCAAAGCAGTGCTATTATTTTAAAGTTGTTCAACACGTAGATTTTCTCTCGAGATTTTCGAGATACTTATAATTTCATTTGTTTAAATTAAACTTTTTTGTTTCTTTCAAATATATTGCTTTATATTACGCATTATTTCTACATGAAACGAGACAGCCTGGTTGGTATTTCTGGGTAAATGTATGTATGTAAGAAATAATTTGACCAGTTCCAGAAAGTCACTAGAGCATCCGAATCGATCATGTTGTGCACATTGGTTGTGGCAGGCTATTACGTCTTCTAGATCAATTTGTACACCATAGTTATGGGTACTATTTACTTCTGGGTTGTAGAACATAAAATCACTGTCACCTTCAGCATTCCTTTTAGTATTTATTACGTGTAAATTCAACTGGGTGGCAAGCATGTGTATTTCTGCTTGCAGTAAATGCTTAAAGCAAAACCGTAGACATGCTGTGTGTAAGAAATGATCCTCATGCATGATTCCAGAATCTCACACATCTTTGAAGAAGGCTATCCACAAGTCTGTGCCTTGTTTTCTTAAGATAGACCACCAGGCCTCAATTCGTTGATTTGCTGTACTTTTACCTTGGCGGAAACATCTGATGCCAGACAATTCATCGTCAGAATTTCTCATAAAAAATGGTCGCAGGCACCTTATTAGGGAGTTTTCTGTACCGGATCGCATCTAACAACCCTTGGAACCATACCTATTTCTTCGACACACGCTAGGTAGTAAGACGCTACTACTGCAGAGTCGTTGTTGGTGTAACTAACTTCAAGCCAGAGGACTTTCCGGCTATAACTATAGCTCTATAACAAATCCGAAAGGTTTTAACTTATCATATCCATCGATATGCCATGATATAAAGTCAGGACGAGTTGACGAGTATTTTCTTCTAATTAAATGATGAGCGTTTCTCCTTTCAATTCCTGAAGGATCCAACAGGCGAAGAATGTCAAGAATAGTATCTCTCTTAGCAGTTAACCCGTGGATTCAGGTTATTTTTCTCCACATACATTTGTATCCGAGAGAACTTCCACTCCCATTCAATTCTTTCTTTACGGCGTGGACAACGTCTACGTAGACCCAAAGTTCTGAGTATCCGCATCAGGTGTTTCACGCTTAATTGTATACCGTGGTGAGGTAAAAGGGTTTTTGAAATTTCTTGATAGGAAAAGTTCTTTGTAAAATATACACCAATGAGCCCCTATCTGAAAAGACTTTCTAGTTGTACAGGGTTATTACTTGGCAAGGTCTCCAAGAGAACGTAAAGTTATACCTAGAGAAAAAGGATACAAAGACATCAAATAATATTGTACATGATTGTAATGATATGATAAGCATAATCACAGCATGATAGCTTTAAGTGAGAAATTAGACCCTCTATTGTTCGTTTGCCAGCAGCCCAACAAATCCGAAAAGAGTAAGCATGGTCTGTTTCGCACGCGACACCCGCCACTACTATAAAGGTCAAAATCATGAGTTCATGCCTGACTAAACAAATCTGCCAAAATGCAAGAAGCAGATTTGTCATATTTGACAAGGAGTTCTCCGTAACGACCATAAAATTTTCTACAAGAAATTTCAAGTTTTTGTGTCAAGTAACCCTGTTTCAGTAATTTCACGGTTAATATTCGACCTCTTGCCAGAAAGTCCTTATAAAGAGAACAAGCTCTAGCATAGCGGACTAGTTGTGAAACTCTGTTATCCTCTGTTGAATCATACCTTAATTTGAACGTGTCTAAGGACTCTTAGATATAAATTAAACCAAATTTTATTGAGATCAGATGACAACTGTGACTTCTATCAATTAACATAATATCCGTGTATCAAGGGTTGAAACTCCTCATCTTTTGTCAAAAAAGTGAACTGTTAATTGTGCCGACAATATATGTCCCAATTAGAAAGTGGGCTTTATATAAAAAAGAACTCAAAACATTGGATATGATCACAAAAGCGTAGGCTTTATTACCAGCTCGCTGGCGGAAAAAACTTGGAAATCGG